CAGAGCCCCAAACCCCACCCCCCTGTGTTGGGGACAGGCCCCCAGACCCAGTGACACAACCACCCCTGGTGGGGGACAATGCTGTCACCAAGGCCGCTTGTCCTTGTCTCTCCTTGCCCTGCAGTGGGACCAGCATTGAGACCCTTCCCCAGTATCTCCAGCGGGTTCATCCGGGGGTCCCTGACTCTGGGGGGGGTGGTGGCTGTCCCCTCCACACTGCTGTGACACCCTCATGTGCCACTTTCAGATAAATACAACGACTTTATCGAAGCCAACCGCATCGAAGATGCGAGCGAGAGGATGAGGACGCTGCGGAAGCTGGTAGGGACATGGGACATGGGACCCGGGCTGGGGTGGGGACACCGCCCTGGAGCCCCCCCTTGGGTGGGGACAGCGGGCACAGGGGTGACCCAATGCGTCCCCACAGATCCGGGACCTGCCAGGCCACTACTACGAGACCCTCAAATTCCTGGTGGGGCACCTGAAGACCATCGCTGACCACTCGGAGAAGAACAAGGTACGGACCCCCCACCCCGGGAATCTCCTGCCCCAGCTGGAGCCCCCCGGCCCGGGCTGGCTGCAGCTCTGAGCTGGCTCTGGGCGCAGATGGAGCCCCGGAACCTGGCGCTGGTGTTCGGCCCCACGCTGGTGCGAACGTCCGAGGACAACATGACCGACATGGTGACGCACATGCCCGACCGCTACAAGATCGTGGAGACCCTCATCCAGCACGTGAGTGGCACCCCTGGGTGGGCGGGGGGGCAGGAGCTGCACCCCAAAAAGGGGGACGGAGCTCCTGACCCCTGTCCCGTGTCCCCCACAGTCAGACTGGTTCTTCAGTGACAAGGAGGACAAGGGTGAGAAGGTGAGTCCTGTCCCTGCTCAGGGGGTCTCGCTGTGCAGACCCCCAGGTGGGAGCTGGGGGGCTCTTGGCAGTGCCCTGATCCCTTTTGTGCCCCTGCAGACCCCCGTGGATGAGAAGGAGGCTCAGTCCGTGCCCAACATCGAGTACCTGCTGCCCAACATCGGCAGGACCGCGGCACCCGGCGACGCCGCAGGTGAGGGGTGGCACCCGTGACATAGTCCCCTGCACTCCTGGCACCTCAGAGTGCCCCCCCGACTCTCTGTGCCCCCCACCCACATCCGTGGGCACGGCCACAGCCAACCTGTGTGTGCTGGAGCGGGACATCCCAGCGCCCTCCTCTCCAGAACTGGGAACAGCCCCTGGGGGTGCCCGAGGAGCCCCTGCCCTTGCCCCGTCCCCCTTCTCTCCGGTGGCCACTCCTTGTCCCCAGGGCAGCGCCCACCCCGCGGGACCCCCGCCCATGCCCGCGCTGCCCCCCTGGAGGCCGGGAGCCTTTGACGTTGGACTGATTTCTTACCTTCTTTCCTTGAACTTCTCTGTGCTGTCCTCTTCCTCCTCCTCCTCCTCCTCTTCCTCCTGCAGCGGATCTCCTCGAGAGCTAGAGCGGGTACAGTCTGATCCCGGGTGCATTGCTCACGCACTAACCCCTGGGGGACCACGAGAGAGGGGGAGCAGGGGGACACCGGGAGGGGAGGGGACGCTGTCCTGCCTGGCACTGTCCCCAGGGTCCCCGACACCGGCAGGGGAGCCCCAGATCCTTCTCACTCTGCTTCTCCTTGGCCAGTGCCTGTGGTGGCACCCCGCTGCAGGGGTGCGTGTGGGGTGTCCCAGAACCCTCAGGTTCGGGGGTGTGGGGTTCCCAAAGCCCCGGGGAGGGTCAGCACCCCCTTTCTGCCTCCCCCTCTCTCGTTGTCAGCGCTGCTAACCCCGTCCCGGGCATGCAGGGCGGGAGAGGGGTCTGTGTCCTGTCCTTGTCCTTCACACTGCGGCAGCAGAGCCAGGGCTGCCTGTCCTCTCTGTGTCCCCTCTGTGTCCCCTCTTTACCCGGTAACCCCCCGGCCTGTCCAGCCCCCTCCGGCCCAGCCCCGAGGCTGGCTGTGGCACCGAGCCCCTCCCTGCCCTCCCTCCCGGTGACGCGGCGGTGGCAGCGCCCTGTCCCTGTCCCCTCCGTGCCCCGTGGCCGCGGGAGGGTTGGGGTCCCACCGCGGGGGTCCCGGCTGTGTGTCCCGGCGGTGTGTGCCTGCGTGTGTCCCCCTTGTCCCCACTCCTCACCCTGGGTGAGGCGAGCAATGCCAGGGACCCCCCCGCGACCAGCGGAGCCCCTCCCGGCCTGTGCAGCCGGAGTGACAGCCCCGGCATGGCCCCGTCCTGGTTTGGGGGAACGGAGCAGCGTCCCCAGAGAGACCCCAGACCCCTCCCCAGCACCTTCCCCTGCCGGGACCCCTCTAACCCTGCTCTCCCCTCTGCTTTCCAGGCTCCACCCGCAGCGGCTCCGCCAAACCGAAGGTGAGCGGGGTCCGGGGCTGGGGCTGGCAGGGTGGGCGCGCGGGGATGGGGACACTCAGCCCGTCCGTGTCACCGCCACCCCTGACCCCGCTGTCCCCGCGCTCCCAGGGCACGTGGCCGTCGCGCAAAGCGCCGCCGCACCGGGAGCTCCTCGCCATCCCCTTCGTCTCGGCCGCCGCCCGCAAGAGGAAGAAGAGGAGAGAGGCCGAAGGCGTTGGGAGCAGCACCGACGACGACGCGGAGCGCAGGGACGGCCCGGGCCGGCAGCAGGAGCAGGAGGGCCCCGCGGTGACCCCCGGCAAAGCCCCCCGCGGCACCAGCACCGGCCCCGCCGGGATGGAGCGGGAGTGCTCCGCCGATCCCGCGGGCAGCGGCTCCGAGCCGGCCCCCGACGCCCGCTCCATCGTGTCCGGCTACTCCACGCTGTCCACCATGGACCGCAGCCTGTGCTCCGAGGCGCACTCGGTGGCCGGGAGCCGCGGGGAGGAGGCGGATGACGAGCGCAGCGAGCTCAGCCACATGGAGACGGACACGGAGAGCCGCGAGGGAGCGCGGCCGCGGGCCGGGCCGGGGACAGGCGACGAGGACAAGCCACCCCCGGGCCGCCCCTCCTTCAGCTCGCACCGCCTGATCCAGTGCGACACGCTGGCCCGCAGGAAGCTGGCGCGGCCGCGGCCGGCCGGGGACAGCGCGGGGGTGGCCAGCGGCGACGAGCTGAGCTGGGTGGCCCCCGGGCGAGCGTCGCTGCGGGAGCAGCTCCGGCAGCACCTGCGGGGCTCCGCCGATGACACGGGGGTCCGCCTGCGCCGGGCGCACTCCCCCGAGACCCGCCGCAGGAAGAGCAGCTGGCGGCGGCACACCGTGGTGGTGCCCGGCGGCCTCAAGGACCTCAACTTCAACGAGTGGAAGGAGCCGCGGGGGCGCGAGGGGACGCCGGCAGCCTGTCGCGACAAGGACTCGGGGCTCAGCAGCCTGGAGTCCACCAAAGCCCGGCCCACGGCTGCCGCCCCGCCTGGCGCTGCTGGCCCGGGCACGGCCCCCGAGAGCCCCCCGGGCAGCTTCCCGCAGTGCCTGTGACCCCCGGGCGCTGCTCAGCTGAGGACTGTCCCTTGTCCCCGTATTTAATTGTGCTCCGGACGAGCTGCCGGTGTTATTTAACGGGTCCGTGTGGGGACAAAGCCACCCGGTGCCCCCCGCTCTGGGGAGCAGTGGCGGTGCCCCAGCCCCCGGGCGGTGCCAGGAGGGGCGTGCGGCTCACGGGGACTGTCCCCAGGGGTGGCCCCGCTGTCCCCAGCCGCGGCGGAGCGAAGTGCGGGCACTTCCCTGGGGCTGCGGCTGCTGCGGCCGGGACCTGCCCGGGATGGGGACGCTGGGGACACTGGGGACCTCGGTGTTACTGACCCTTCCTCCAGGGGACCCTGGGGACATCAGGGTCAGAGACCCCTGTGAGAGGGACCCTGGGGACATCAGGGTCAGAGACCCTTGCTCTGGGGACCCTGGGGACATCAGGGTTGGGGACATCAGACTGCGAGACACCTGCCCTCAATGACAGACCCCTGTCCCGGGGACTCTCCATGCCCTGAGGACCTTGGGGGTCCCCTCTCAGGGACCCCTCCCCATGTGCCAGGGTCCCTTGGGGACCTCAGCGCTGTCACCCTCACCTGGGGGGGCTCTGCTGAGCGGGGGCAGCCGGGGAGGGGGTGGCACTGAGGGGGACACCCGGCGGCGGGGGGGACACTGCCACCTTTTACCCCCCCGAGCTGCGCGTGGCACGTCCGGGGGTGTCCCTGTCCCCTCCCATGGCTGTCCCCTTCCTGCCCCCCAGGCCAGAAGCACTTTAGGAAGGGAGTTTGGGGACCCCCGGCCTGGCCATGCGGGGACACAAGTGCCACCACCTCGGTGGCCTGGTGTCGCACCCTGTCGCCGTCTCTCCGTGTCGTTCTCATACGTTATGCAAGTATTTGCTGTAAAGTCGTTCGTTTTTCTTTTCTTTTTGATTTTTTGGGGTTGTTTTTTGTTCGTTTCCCCCTGTAAATACCGGCCCTGCCCGTGTAACATATCCCAAAGGATTTATAAGGATTTTTTAAGAAGTTTTGCTCAGCGGAAAGGCCAGCCCCGAGCAGGGGACGTGCTGGACCAGTGGTGACTTTTTAAAACCCTCCTGCATGTCCCCCCCAAACCCCTTCCCACCCCATTCCCGGCCCCGTCGGGATCTGCAAAACTGCAAAAAAAAATCCCCAAACCAACCCAAAAAAAATCCCCCTGCTTTGCCCCCCCTACCTCCAGTCTATGTATTGGAAATAAACTGGTTATTCAAAATTTTTTTGGTATTAATTCCCTTTTTTTTTTGGTGGGCAGGGACCTCAAATTCCTGGTGCTGGGAATTTCTGTTCCTGGATTTATCCATGGGAGGATAAATCGCATTTTTCTCTGAGTCTGTGGGGAGGAAATAACAGAACTGGGGATGCCCCATCCCCATCAAAATTCTCAATTTTCAATTTATCAGATTTCTCTATTTCTCAAATTTCTCAATTTCTCAAAATTTAGGGAGGGGGGTAAAAATGAGGGGAAAAATCGCCAGAAAAAGACAGAAAAAGAGGCAAAAAAAAAAAAAAAAGGGAAAAAAAAAAAAAAAAAGGTAATTTTATTAAAGCCAGACACTCTGATAGAAAAGAAAAATTATAAAGGGAAAAAGGAAAATAATAAAAAGCAACCCTTTTGTCACGGGAATTACAACGGTCACACACAACTACCCATGGCATCCACGGTGACACGGGGACACAGCGGGGGGGTGGCACAGGGTGGGGGCGTCCCCTCCCTCCCCTCCCCCGCTTTCCCCCTGTGCGAGGCTTTTTTTTTTTTTTTACATTTTTCTTCATTTTTTTCTTTTTTTTTTCCCTCCATTTTTCAACTCTTTTTTTTTTGTACTTTTTGTTCCTTTTATTTTTCCTTTTTAAAACAGTTCACGAGAAAATTCATGCGGAAGAGAGAGAGAGAGAGAGAGACACACGACGGTCAGGAAACCCAAAACAGCCTCTAAGGAGAACCAGAAATTCCTTGTTTTTCTTTTTTTTTTGGCGTTTTTTTCGCTTTTTCTGCTCAGTTCGTCCTTTTTATTTTGTCCTTTTCAGAGTCGTAGCCTTTTTGTTTGTTTGTTTGTTTTGAAACAACATCCAGACGAGTAAAGCGGGGAGCGCATGCAGCGGGCGCCTCCGGCACATGCACGATGCAGGCAGCGCTTGGCTTTGGGCTTTTTTTGGCATTTTTACACATTTTCCTCTTTTTTTTTAAATAATTTTTAAAATATTTTTTCCCGGTCTGAACCAGGAGTTGTTTTGTTGTTAGTTTTGATTTTTTTTTTGGTTTTTTTTGTTGTTGTCTTCTTGCTTCAGCGAGGGATTTGCGCGATGCCATGAAGGGGACGGACGCACACGCACGCGGGGACACAGCCGGGAAAAGGGGACACGGGGGGGGTTGGGGACAGCTTGGGACCTGCCGCCCCCTCACCCGGCGGTGCCACCGCCTGGTTTGTCACTGTCACCTCCCTGAGGGACACCGGGCTGGGGACAGAGTGGGAAAAGTGTCACCCCAAAATCGGTGACAGCTTGGGGACACCGGGGTGGGGACACTCAGGACAGCCCCCTCCAGCGTCATTTTTGGGGGTGTCTCCATAGAGGGTGGCAATTGTCACCTCCTCGCGTCATTTCTGTGCGTGTCACCACAAGGGTGGCAATTGTCACTTCCCGTGACATTTTTGAGGGTGTCATGGAGGAGGATGGCATTGTCTGGGTGTCCCCACGGGGGTGGCATTGTCGCCTCCATGTTGGTGTCCCCACGGGGGTGGCACTGTCACCTCTGTCTGGGTGTCCCCACGGGGGTGGCATTGTCGCCTCTGTCTGGGTGTCCCCACGGGGGTGGCATTGTCGCCTCCAGCCAGCAGAGCTCGGGAGCTGTCACCGCGCCCCCCTCGGGTGACACAAGGTGACAGAAGGTGACAGCGCGGGGCAGGGGAGGGGACAGCGCCAGGTGCCACCACCCGCCCGGCCCCGGAGCTGCGGCTTTGCTACAGAGAATTCACTTTGGTGCCGAGAACAGAAATGAATTAAAAACGAAATTCCAAACGCGTCAGGGGCTGCTATTGCTGCGGGCACGGGGGGACGGGCGGGGTCCCCGGGGCCACCTGGGGCCACCTGGGGACGGCTGGGGACAGCTGGGGACAAGGAGAGAGGGCGGGGACTCAGCGCGAGGGCGACGAAGCCGCCCTGGGAACCACAGGAGCTCTAAACCTAAGCAGGGATTTTAAATCCACCCCCTAAATAATACCGGACGTGATTTATTTATTTCTCTTCTTTTTCCTTTTTTTTTTTAGTTTTTTTTTTTTTTAGGTTTTTTTCCCCTCTTTAAATATTTATATATAGATTTATATTACGTATATTATATATATATAATATGTAAATATATTTTTTAAAACAATATAAAATGTTAAGACACTTCACTTAAATGTAAAGAGTTGCTTTTTTTGCAATCCAAAGAAATTGCATCATGATTTTTTTTCTTTTTTTTCCTTTCTTTTTTTTGGTCTTTTTTTTTTATTTGGTTTTTGTTCTTTTTTGTGTGTGTTTTCTCTTTGTTATTCAAAAAAAGGCTCTCGTTTCTTCTGTACAAAAATGATCGAGATACAAAAATCAAAAAAAATTAAAAAAAAAACAGAACAAAAAAATCAGAGGAGGGGGGAAAAGGAAGAAAAAAGGAATTGAAATTGAAAAAAACCCCGAAAATAATCAACCCAAGGACGAAACAGAGAACGGAAGGAGTGACTGGATCTCGTGCTGCACACGCAGAGCACACGCACACACACACCTGGGCACAGCTGGGCACACCTGGGGTACATATGGGTACACGTGGCCACACCTGGAGCACACCTGGGCACACCTGGGCACACCTGGGCACAGGTAGGTACAGCTAGGGCACACCTGGGGTGTACCTGTGGCACACCTGGGTGCACTTGTGGCACACCTGGGCACACCTGGGCGCACCTGGGCACACCTGGGCACACCTGGGCGCACCCGCGGCCCCTCTCCCCCCAGGCTGGCCGGGCCGGGGCTGCTCCCCCGGGGCTCCGGGTCCCGCCCCGCCCGCTCGTCCCCACCGGGAGGGGACGGAGCCGCGGCCGGGTGACCCCCCCGGCATCACCGCGCCCCCCCGGCCGCTCGCTCACGGACCCCTCCTCAATTCACACCCGCGCCCTGCGGCCCCTGCGGCACTCGCGGGGACCCCCCGGCCCCCCTGGAGGGGACGCGGCGGCGGCGGCGCCCCGGGATGTCGCCGAGTCCCGGGATGTTCCCGAGTCCCGGGATGTCCCCGAGCCCCGGGATGTCCCCGAGCCCCGGGATGTCGCCGAGCCCTCGGCGCCGCCCGCCACCCACCGGCGAGCCCTGGCCGGAGCTGTCCTCTCCTCCTGCGGGGACAACGCGGCCGCTGCCGGGGCGCTCGGGGGTCGCTCCGGGGGTCGCTCCCGGGGTCGCTGCTTCCCGATTTTCCGCGCGGCGGGAGCTGGAAGCTGCTCCTGGCTGGACGCTGGTGGGGGGAAGCTCTGAGAGCTCTTAAATAAACAGAAAAGAACCAAAAAAATCCAAAAGAAAGAGGGGAGGGGAAAAGGGGGGAAAAAGAGGGGAGGGACCAAACCAACAGCGATCCAAAGGGGAGGGGAAAAAAGGAGAAAAAGAGGGAAAAAAGAGAGAGAGAGAGAAACAGAAAGTGGCTGGTTGGCCATGGCGGGGCGGGGGACACACGGGTCGGGCCGAGGCGCGGCACAGGCGACACAACAAAAGTTCTTTTGGCAGAGCGGAGGCGACAAAAACATGGATCGAACAGAAAGAGGAGGGGAACAGAGGCGGCGGATTCCCTCCGGAGCGCCTCAAGGAGAAGCCAAGTCGCAGGGAGGAAGAGGAGCCCCAGGAAGAGGAGGAGGAGCCCCCCGGAGCAGGAGAGCGGCCGGGCGGAGCTGGCAGGGGCGCTCAGAATGAGATGGAGGAGTTCCTGGCCCCAAAGGAAGTCAATACGGGGATGGAGGTTCTGCCCGCTGCGGGTTTTTCTGAGACCGTGGGGGAGGTCTCACTGGCCTCTTTAGATGGTCTAGTGGCCTGGAAAGAAAAGCAAGATTCAAGGAGGACGAGGAGGAGGAGAAAGGGGCGGAAAGTCCAGAGATAAATAAAAGAAAAAGCTTTAAAAAAAAAGAAAGACGAAAGAAAGGAATTTAAAAAAAAAAGGGAAAAATCCAACAGAAACAAGGACAGGAAAAACCCAAAAACAACCGAGAAGCAAAGGGAGCTCGCTCAGAAGCAGCGCTGAGTCAGGCCTGAGGTCAAGCAGCTGGAAAAGGGCACAGAGAGCACGACACGAGCGGGTCCCGCGTGTCACTGCGCGGGCAGGACGGACGGACGGACGGACGGGCACGCGGAGGACACACAGGCACACACAGCCGGGGTCACAGGGGACATGGGGGAGGCACAGGGGGGACAAGAAGGGCGGCGTTAGAGCGGGCACAGCCCCCGGGGCAGCGCCCGAGGGTGGCAGTGCCCACCCCGTCCCTGTCCCTGTCCCTGTCCCCGTCCCTGTCCCCGTCCCTGTCCCTGTCCCCGTCCCTGTCCCCGTCCCTGTCCCTGTCCCCATCCCTGTCCCCGTCCCTGTCCCCGCCGTGCCAGGGGGGCACAGCACGGCCCGCCCCGGCTCGGGAGCGACGCTGAGAATCCCCCAGGGATGAGGAGAGGGATCCAGGATCCTCCAGCCCCGCCGTGCCCCCAGGGAGGGGAGGAGGGGGGTGGGACACCCCCAAACCCTGCACGGGGACTAAAGTGACACGGGAACGTCCTGCTGAGGCCACCCCAGCGAGGGCCACCGAGGTGTCACCGAGGCGGTGACATTGCACGGCCGGGGCTGGGCTGCCGGGGGGTTCCAGGGGAGGGGACCTGGTGGCCTCATGGGGTCAGGAGAGGCTTCCCAGCCCCTCAGGTGGGTCCGGTGTGCAGAGCAGGGAGGGAGCCCCCTGCCCCTCCTGATTCCACGGGGTGGGACAACCCCGCACGCCAGAGGGGACACTCAGGGACACCCTGAGCTCGAGGACCTCAAAAACACTCCAAAACCCTCTAAAAACCTCAAAAAAACTTCCAAAACCCTACAAAAACCTCAAAAAAAGTGGCCGTGATCCCCTGGCATGAGCCCCGTGCCAGCCGGGAATGCACGGCCCGCACTGGGGTGACAGCAGGGACAGAGGGGGGGAGCCCCGGAGCTGCCCCCGGGGTGGGGAGGGGTCAGCGCTGGCTGCTGGCTGCTCGGGGTGCTCCATCCCACCCCAAAACGCTTCTCTTGCAGCTGCTGTGGCCGGCTCACCCTGTCCCCGCAGTGCCACCACCCCGCCTGGGACACCCACAAGCTGCTTCTTTGGGTGCTCGGGGGGTCCCGGCTCCCCAAAACCTCCCCAGGTAGGGAATCCCCATCCCCAGAGCTCATCAGTGCAGCCGAGGAGGTGGCACTGTCCCCCGGGGCGAGGGGACAGCGCCGGGGCTCAGCCACCCCCCCAGGGTGACAGCCGGCGCTGGGACAAGCGCGGCCTCAGCCTCACCCCACAGCGAGGATGAGTTTGTGACCCTCTGGTGCCCCTGTCCCACCCAGGGCGGGCACAGAGCGTGACCAGAGCCCCTCCCCACCGCCACCACCGCGTCCCTTTGTCCCCAGCCCGGCTCGGCCAAAGCCAGGAAGGCACCGAGGAAGAGAGAACGCAGTCCCAAAACTCATCCCGCGGGCTGTGCCCGGCCCGGGCCGTGCCCCAGGGCGCTGCCAGCGCGGCCCTGGCGGCTCTAGGGGTGCAGTACCTGCTGCTGGCCCTGGATCCGCATGTACTCCATGCGCTGCTTGATGTGCTTGCCCTTGTCGGGGCTGCCCTGCTGGCCCTGCTTCAGCCGCGACGCCGGGTTCACCACCTTCATGGCCGGGATGGAGACGCCACCGCTCTGCCGGGACACAAAACCCGCGAGGAAAAGGGTTAAAACGGGCCGGCGGAGCCCCCGCGGCACCGCTGGGTGCCTGGAGCTGCGCCACCCCTGCCAGCACAGCCCGTGGGCACAAGGCCGGGCCAGGACCGGGCCACCGGCTCGCCCTGAGCTCCGAACCCCGCCGGACTTACCGGGAGGCACCCGGGAGGGAGTTTGGGGACACACGGCAAACAGCGGGACACCGAGGGCGGGACAGGACAGCCCGCGGGGCCAAGAGAGAGGGAAAGAGGCGGCGGCAGGCAGAAGCAGAGTCCAGGTGGGAACGGCGGCAGTGGGAGTGCAGAGGAGTTTATTGGCTGTGCACAGGTGAGGATACATGGGCGGCAGCGCCACGCACCCCCCGTGCCCCCTCCCGTGCCAAGTCCCCTCCCGGTGGCCTCCTGCCTGTCCTGCTCCAGCCCAGGCTGGGGAATCCATGGCTCGGGTGAATCCCGGGATCCTCCCGGGGGGGGAGGAAATCATCCGAGGATGGAATATCCTCAGCTGGAAGGATCGTCAGACTCCAAATCCTAGCCCTGGAGAGCCCCGCAAGTGCCTGTGCCCCAGGCACAGCATTCCAGCATTCCAGCGCTGGGAATGCTCAGAATCCTGGGAATGCGCCACCAGCCCTGCCCTGCCCTGCTCTGGGACTGACCCATCACAGCCTCTCCCGCCTGACCCTGAGCCTGGCTTTGTCCAGCCCCAGCCATAAATCCACCCCACAGCTCCATTTCCCTTTCCTGGGAAAACAAACTGGGAAAAATTGCAGCTACAGCCCCGTGCACCCAGGAGAGCCCCCGAGGAGCGAGAGAACGGCTCCAAAGGAAAGAGCAGATTCATTCCCCAGCGCTGGCTCTTAACAAAGGAGCAGGTTGTCGTCGCAGCGGAGCTCAGGGCATTTTTCCCCTCCCCGTTTTTTCCCAGATATTCAGCTGGATTCCAGCGGAAAGCAATTTGGGATGGCTTCAGGGAGCTCGTGCTGTGCTTTAATTAGGAGAAACATCTGCCAGGCTCCGGCTGCCGCTCGTTAGGAGAGGGATTTTATGGGAAATGGTGAAACTGAGAGCAGTGCTATGGCACCCAGCCCTGGCTGACCCTGTGGGATCCTCTGGGAACCCGTGGGACGCTCCTGGACCCTGTGGGATGCTCTTGGACCCCACAGGATGCTCTTGGGCCCTGTGGGATGCTCTTGGATCCCGTGGGATGCCCATCCTGGACCTGGTGCTTCAAAATCCTGCCAGGGCAGAAGAATCCCCCTCATCCAGGGTAATTCCAGGACGGGAGCAGCCAGCCCCACCCGGCACCGTCTCCCTTCCAGCTCCTGCCTCGCTCCTGCCCTTCCCGAACCCCTCCAGGTGCCAGGGAGAAGAGGAAGATTCGTTCTCTGCCTGGAGGTGGAGTCACAGAGAGGGAGCAGGCAGAGGAAGAGACACCAGAGTGAATCCAGGGCAGAGCAGGGCACGGGGGAGAAGAGAAAATGAACCTGGGGCGTGCCGGGGGGCAGCTGCGGCTTGGGCAGCAGCGCTGGCTTGGTCCTGCTCGCCGAGGGGCTCTTGGCAGCGCCGTCCCGGGCCTGGCTGAGGTCCAGCGCGGTGTCACCGTCGCAGCCTCCGTGCCCGAGGTCCCCCAGGCTCCTGGCGGCCTCCTGGGATCCCAGCGCGCCCTTGGGGAACGCGAATTCCACGGCGGGGTGGCTGCTGATCTCGCTGATGGTCATCTCCAGCTCGCGGATGGTTTCCTCCAGGCTGTCCAGTCTCTGGTAGGTGTCCTCGTAAATCTCCTTCTTGCCCGGGGCCGCGGGGGACAAGCGGCCTCTGCAGAGCGCTCCGGGGTCGCCCCCGGCAGCCGGAGCCCCTCGGTCCCATCCCGGAGGTGCCGCGGCGGGGCTGGGGCGGGCCGGGATCCGCTCCGGGCGCGGCTGCTCCTCCCGGGAAGGCCCCGCTGCCCTCGGGGCGGGGTCCCCGGGATGCGCCCCCGGGCTCTCCTCCCTCCACGCGGCTTTGGGAGCCCCAGCCGAGTGTCCCGGAGCCAGCCTGGCTCCTCTTTGGGGGTCCCCATGGCCAGCGGGAATTTGGGGAATGATCCCGGCACCCACGGAGGGCAGCGCGGCCGCCGCAGCTCCGGCACCGGCCCCGCGGCTCCGAGGAGGCTGCGCAGCCACGGCACTTTGGGGACAAGCCTTGTCGCCGCCTCCTGGCCTGCTGGCAGGGCCCAGAGCCGCGTCGCCTCTTTGTGCCCCCGTTTTATCCCTCGGGAAAGGCGGGGCTGCCGGGGGAAACGCCCGGGATGCGCTGCCGGGGGGCTGCGGGGCTGGAGGGGCTTCCTGTGCCAGCGGGGACTCTGGAGGGCTGCCAGGAGCCGCCGCACGGCCTCCCCTTGTCCCCTCGGGTGGCAGCTGCCCTCGTGCTGCCGCGCTGCCCGGTGCCACCCACGGCTCCGGCTCGGCCTCGGGGGACGGCGGCTCCGACACCCACTCGGTGAGCACGATCTGGGGCAGGGAGAACGCCCGGCCGGCCGGGGCTGCCGGCGCCAGCGGCTCCTGGGTAGAGAATTCAGACAGGTTAGGGGCCAGGCGGCAGCGGGGCTTGCCTGGGGAGGCACCACGGGGCACCACAGATGATGGGGTCCCCCCACGCTGGTGCTTTGGGGCACGGCAGAGTTCCAGGAGGGAGTTTGGGAAGGGAGAGGGGCTCAGCTCCCTCCGGCCCATCCCATAGAGCCCAGCGGGGTTCACGGCATGGACAGGGGCTGGAGGGGATTGCTCAGCTCCCTCCTGTCCAGCCCTGACATCCCAGTGGAGAAAAAACTTCAAATCCAAAACCAGGCTGGTGTTTGTGCACCTCCCAAACACCTTTGGAAATCCTGCTGCCACCAGCAGAAATCCAGACGGGATTTCTCTGTGCTGGCACAAACTGGGAGCACTGGTGTGAGCTCCAGTGGGGCTGAGCCATCCCAACCCAGCTGCCCGAGGGGCATCCGACCTTTCCCACCCTGAGGAGCTGAAATCCCCCAGAAAATGCTGCTGTTCCTGCCCCGAGGGACATTCCTGGGATGCCTGCGGGACCCGAGCAGGGCAGGGGAGCTGCAGGATGCCCTGGCACAGCCCTGCAGCTGCCCCGAGCTGAGCCCCGGGGCTGCGGCCGGGCCCATCCCAGCTCCGGAGCAGAGGGACAATCCAGCCCTAGGGTCCCAGGAGAGGGGGACACCCAGCGAGGTGCCAGACCCTCCCCAGGAGCTGCCGGGATGAGCCAGAGCTGCCCTGGCTGCTGGCAGGGCAGGAGCCCCTGTCCTGCTCTTTGCCCCACACCTGGGCATTCCCTGCTCCATCCTGGCATTCCCTGCTTCATCCTGGAATTCCCTGCTCTGTCCTGGCATTCCCTGCTCCATCCTGGAATTCCCTGCTCCATCCTGGCATTCCCTGCTTCATCCTGGAATTCCCTGCTCTGTCCTGGCATTCCCTGCTCCGTCCTGGAATTCCCTGCTCCGTCCTGGAATTCCCTACTCCGTCCTGGCATTCCCTGCTCCATCCCGGAATTCCCTGCTCCATCCTGGCATTCCCTGCTCTGTCCTGGCATTCCCTGCTCCGTCCTGGAATTCCCTACTCCGTCCTGGCATTCCCTGCTCCATCCCAGACCCTCTCCAGGCATTTTCCTCCTGCTCTCTCCCCCCTGGGCATTCCCTGCCCCATCCCAGCCACTCTCCAGGCTCTCTCCACCCCAGAGCCCCGCACGGATCTCAGGATTGCCGGGATGGGGCCGGACCTGACTCCGGGCAGACCCAACCACCGGGCTCTGCTCCAACCCTTCCCTCTCCGTGCCCCCGGGGCAGGGTGTCCCCCGCACCGCCCACCCCCGGGCGCTGCCCGGTGCAGTGCCCAGTGCCCGGTGCCCGGTGCCGTGCCCAGTGCCGTGCCCAGTGCCGTGCCCGGTGCCCGGTGCCGTGCCCGGTGCCCGTGCCATGCCCGGGAGCCTCCCAGGAGCCGCGGCCGCGGGTCAGCGCTGGCTCCGGTGCCGTGTCAGTGCCGGGAGCGGGGCGGTGAGCAGAGAAGTGGTAATTAGTTGGTTAAATCAGAGGAAAGCAGCAGAGGCGAGCTGAGAGGAGGCAGAGGAGGAAGGCGAGAGCGCAGCCCCGGTGAGCGGAGCCGTTACCTTCCATCCTTCAGCTCCGCGGGGCCACGGCTCGGGGTGGCCGGGGGACACAGCCTCGAGGGGGTCACAGCGGGGCTCGGGGAGCAAGGGGGAGGCAGAGCTCCGCTGAAACACCTGGGGGGTCAAACACGGCGTTGGAGGGAGGGAGGGAGGGAGAGGCAGCCCGGGCTGCAGCGGGCTCGCCGTGGGCACGGCCTGAGCGGGGCGGTGCCAGCTGGCAGGGGCAGCATTGTCCCTGGGCTGACGGCAGGGCCGCCTGTCCCCTGGGCTGATGGCAGGGCCACCTGTCCCCTGGGCTGATGGCAGTGTCACCCATCCCCTGGGCTGATGGCAGGGCCACCTGTCCCCTGGGCTGATGGCAGAGTCAGCTGTCCCCATGCCAGCTGTGGCATCAGAGCCCTGGCCAGCAGAGTCACTGGGCTCCCAGCCAGGAGAGTCACTGCTCCTCAGCTGTCAGTGTCACTGCACCCCTGGCCAGCAGGGTCACTGGTCCAGTCTGGCAGCACCTGTCCCACATGTGCAGGGTCACCTGTCCCCTGTGTCATCACCTGTCCCACACCTGCACCATGCCCAGTTCTCCTCCCTCCTGGAGGAAAAGCATCCAAGGAAAAACCATCCAAGAAAAAAAAAAAAAAAAACAACAACCAAGAAATAACCACCCCCTCGCCACTGGAGAGGAGCAGAAAGAGCACCCAGCTGTGCAGTACCCAGCTGTGCAGTGCCCAGGTGTGCAGCACCTGTCCCTGGTGCTGCCACCTCTCTGTTCCCGCAGCCCCAGGAGGAGCAGGGACCCCCCTGCGGTGCCGGTGCCGGGGATGTCACACCCCAAACGGCCCCACCCCGAGCTGTCCCCGAGCAGAAGGGCGGCCGGTGCCACCTGCGGGCCGGTGCCACCTGCGGGCCGGTGCCACCTGCGGGGCTGTGCCACCTGCGGCCCGGTGCCACCTGCGGGCGGGGTCCCGGCTCCCGCCCCTCCCGCGCTCACCTCCAGCTCGGCGATGATCCGATCCTCGTCGTCGTCGTCCTTGACGGCCGAGGCGATGATGGGCGGCGTGGAGGCGGGCCGGACCACCTCGGACACCGCCCGCCTCAGCTTCACCTGCGGCTTCGGCGTCTCCAGCTCCTCCGACTCCGCCTTCTGCCGGGGGGAGCGGGCCGTGAGCGCCGGGGGCACCGGGGGACACCGGGGGACAGCACCAGGGGCGCCTCGGCATCAGGGGGGACCGGGGGACACCAGAGGACACTGGTGGGGGAGCACCAGGGGGGACCAAGAGGCACCGGGAAACACCGGGGGGCACCGGGAGGCACTGGGGGACACCGAGGGACACCAGGAGGCACCGGAGGACACGGAGGGACACCGGGGGGCACCGGAGGACACGGAGGGACACCGGGGGACACCCGCGCAGCCCAGCCCAGCCCAGTCCAGCGGGCTCCTCACCTTGATAAAGCCGGGCTCCTTCTTGCTGGTGACAATGACCTCGCCGCTGCGGGTCGTGGTCAGCCCGTGCGACGAGGGGAAGCTGCGGCGGGGCGGGGGAGGCGGCGGCGACTTGGAGGGTTTCTCGGTGCGGTACCGCGGCACCGTCAGCTCGTCTGGGCACAGAGGGGGCTCTGAGGGCACCGCGCCTGGCCCTGCCCCCCTAACCAAACCCCCCCGCCTCGGGGACAGCGCCTCGCACCCCCAGCCCCGCCTCGGGAGGCGACCCCGACCCCGTCCCCCCCCAGGCCGTACCTGAGCCCCGGCGGCCGTTGGGGTCCCCCTTGCCCCCCGATTTGGGGGTGTGCTGTGCCTTGGAGGGTTTGTGCTCGGGCGTGGAGGCGGCGCTGCCGCTGCCCGGGGTTTGTTTGTGCTTGGCGGCGAATTCCAGGTCGGGGATGGCCTTCATGAGCTCGGCCTGGGTCTCCTCCAGGAGCCGGTTGATGTCCTTGGCGCTGTACTGGGTGAGCGCCGCCCGCTTCTCCTCCCAGTCGCGCTCGGCCGCCTGCGGACACGGAGCCCGCTGCAGCCCGGGCCTGGCGGGCAGGACGGGACCCCACGGCCCCCCACACCCCAGACCCGCTGCCCTCATCCCACCCCACCCCCTTGCAGCAAAAGCTCCACCGAGGAGCAGCACCGCTCCCATTCCCATTTTCACCTCCCCAGACCCCCCGGAGGAGCCCCCCCGAGCTGAGCCCCCCCCGGCCGGGCCCTCACCTCCACGGACACCGCTTTGTCCGCGCTCTTCTTGCTGGGGGTCTCGGGCCCCGTCTGCGTCTTGGCCGCCACCATCTCGGGGGCTCGCGAGGGGTTATTGCTCTTGCCGGGGTGGCTCTGGGGCTGGGGGGCGAAGCCGGGCATGCCCAGGGGCTCGGGGGTGCCCGTCAGGTGGTGCAGGCTCACGGGAGGGCTGGTGGGCATCTCCAGCTCCAGCCCCTTGCCGAAATCCGTCTCCGGGGCCACCTTCTTGGGCGACTGGCTCAGGCTGCTGGGCGAGCTCCACACGCCCTCGTCCACTTGTCTAGGGCAGAGCGGGGGCACTGAGGGGCCGTGGGGCACGGGGTGGGCACAAAATCCTCATTTCCTGAAGGCTGAGGTGCCCTTTGGGGGGCCTGCCCACCCTCGTGAGCCTGGCAGGAAATGGGATCCCCCCAAAGCCTCCCCCTGCTCCAGGTCTGGGTGGATCCGCCCTTGGGATTGAGGATTTGTTCGGGATGAGGGCGCTGCAGGATCCTACAGGCTCGGTTCCCTGGAAAACCGGGCTAGAGCAGAGCCTGGGGCTATCCCAGAGGGCAGCCGGGCTGGGAATGTCCCTAATGGGATCCTAATGGGACCCTAATGAGATCCTAATGGGATCCTAATGGGATCGGGCACTGAAATCCACCCAGCGGCAGCTCTGGGACAGGACTTTCCTCTGGGAGAGGATTTTTCCACCACAGAACAGCTCCCTGTCCTTGGGAAAGAGATTTCTGCCCACGCCGAGGGCTGTGTGCCCATCCTGAGGTGAAACCCTGCTTTATTCCCGAGGAAAAATGAGGTTTGTATCAAAAGAGAGGGTCCCACACAAACCTGGAAAGGACTGAGAGTGTTTTTGGGGTCCTTCAGCAGAAAAACGAGGCTTTTACCAATAAAGGGTTCCCTCCCACCCCTGGAGAGGAGCGTGAGGGTGTTTTTGGGGTCCTTTAGCAGAAAAATGATCATTTTATGCACACCCCTGGGATTCCCTCCTGCCCTGAGAGTTTGGGATGCACAGAGATGAGGAGGCACAGAGGGGACAAAAGTGGCACAGAGGGGACGAAGGTGGCACAGAGGGGATGAAGGTGGCACAGAGGGGACAGAGGCGGCACAGAGGGGACAAAGGGACACCGGGGGGGTGGCAGTGCCCTCAGGGGGCTCGGGGCTCACCTGCGGATCTGGGCCAGCGTGTCGGTGACGGTCTTGCAGCGCTTGAGGAGCCCGTCCAGGCGGTTGGGCTCCTCCTTGAGGAACTTGACGGCCTCCACCTCCACCCGCAGCACCACGCGCATCTTGCTCTGCAGGCCGGGGAACTGGGCTGCCGGGGGACACGGCTGTCACCGCTGTGTGCCTCCCGCCGCCCGGCTGGCACTGCCAGGGCAGCCGGGACCCCGCGCCGTGGGCTCCTGCCAGGAGGGGCGGGGTGGATCCGGGGAAAGCCTGGATTGATGCTCCAGCCCTGCTCCAGCCACACGAGTTCAGGATAGAGGTGGTCCCTGCACAGCTGTGGGCACCGGGCGTGGCACCAGAGGGCACCTGAGAGGGCAGGGGACCACCCTGGCAGGGGCAAACCCACAGGGAGAGCCTGGAGAATCCCAGGGGAAACACAAATCCGGGAGATCCTGGAGAATCCCAGGGGAAACACAAATCCGGGAGATCCTGGAGAATCCCAGGGGAAACACAAATCCAGGAGATCCTGGAGCCTCCCCGGGCAGGGATGGAGCAGGGAAGCTCCGGAAGGTTCTGTTTGCCCCCCCAGCCCCTCCTCACCCTTCAGGTCCGTCAGGGTCTCCCCCAGCTGCTTGAGCACCACGGCCTTTTCCTCCAGCTCCTGCGCCGGCACCAGCCGCTGGTTGTGGGCCAGATCCTTCTGGATCTTCTCCACGGACTTCTCCAGGTCGCTGGGAGGGCAGGGGGAGGGCAGGGGTCACTGGGGGGTCACTGGGGGGTCACTGCTGGGTCAGAAGGGTGCAGAGACCCAAAGGTGGCAGCAGGAGAGGGGAACACTGGGCTGAGACCCCTCCTCACTCAGGGATGTGGTCACTGCATGGGGACCTCTCCTTCTTTAGAGACACAGTTACTGTGTGGGCACCCCCTGATTTGGGGACAGGGTCACTGCGTGGGGATCCCTGATCTGGGGACAGGGTCACTGTGAGGGCACCCCCTGATTTGGGGACACGGTCACTGCGTGGGGATCCCTGATTTGGGGACACGGTCACTGCGTGGGGATCCCTGATGTGGGGACACGGTCACTGCGTGGGGATCCCTGATTTGGGGACACGGTCACCGCGTGGCACCCCTGATTTGGGGACACGGTCACCGCGTGGCCCCCCGAGGCGGGCCCTGCCCCGGGCAGTGCAGAGCTGCTCTCTGCCCCCGCTCTGCCCCGGGCCCGGCCGGGCTCACTTGAGCTGCTGGCTGATGAGCTCCTCCTCGTTGAGGTAGCGCAGCCGCTCCTCCTCCACCAAGCTGCGCTGGCGCTGCAGAGGGTCCTCGTGCTTGCGCATCGTGTCCGTCACCCGCACGCTCAGCTCCGTCTCCGTCCGCCGCAGCAGCGACTTCACCGTCTCCTGGTTCTGCAGCTGCGGGCAGCGGCAGGAGGAGGAGGAGGAGGAGGGTCAGGCTGGGAGAGAACCCTGGAGGGAGCAGCCCTGAGCTGGGCATGGAGGGATCCCTGGGGTTGGATTTGGGAAAGATCCCTGAGCTGGGTGTGGGCAGGGATCCCTGGGGTTGGATTTGGGAAAGATCCCTGAGCTGGGCACAGGGAAAGACCCCAGAGGCTAAATTTGGGAAAGATCCCTCAGCTGGGCATGGGGAGGGACCCCTGAGCCTGAATTTGGGAAAGATCCCTGAGCTGGGTGTGGGGAGGGAACCCTGGGGTTGGATTTGGAAAAGATCCCTGGGGTTGGATTTGGAAAAGATCCCTGGGGTTGGAGTGGGGAGGGATCCTTGAACCGGGTGTGGGGAGGGATCTCTGGGGTCACAGCGGGAAGGATCCCAGAGTCTGGATTTGGGGAGGATCCCCAAGCTCCTCTCCAGGGAGGCTCCCCGAGCTCTCCCACACCAGCCCCAGTGCACAAAGGGGATTTTCCCATCCCAACCCATAAGAGCTGGCTCGGTTCCGGGGTCCCCCCGCCCCAGGCGCCCACCTGCAGCTTCTTGAGCTGCTGCAGCTGGTTGCGGAGGTCGCTGGCGTTCTGCTGCAGGTCGTGCAGGTGCAGCTGCATGTGCAGGCGGGTGATGGCCGTGGGCTGCCCCGCCGGGGTGCTGGTGGCCGAGGGCGGTGGCGGCGCGGGCACCGGGGTGCCCATGCCACTGCGGCTGGTGGCTGGGGGGGCAAGCAGGGGCTGCTGAGGGGCTGTGGTGCCCGTTTCTTTCCTTTCCCCACCCAATCCTTCGGCTCTGGTGGTCTCCAAAGTTGCCCCATCCGTGCTAAGCCCACCCTGAGGCCACCCCAGAGCAGCATGGGGGGGATCCCGCTGGTTGCCAGTGATGCCTCAAGATTTTAGCTTTTAAATTTTTCAAATCCTGTAGTGCTTTAGGGAATAACTCTGAAACTCCATGGCCTGTCAGCTGCTGCTCTCCTGTTTTATTCAGACAAAACAATTCCTCTCCAGGCCGGTGACTCCAGGACACCTCACTACCTCAGGACCCCAAAAATATTTTAAAAAGTGAACTGGGGGGGGAAACTAACTGGGAGTAAACTACTTCATTACCTGAAGCTGTAATTGAAGGATTAACTCAAATTACATCAATTAACAGCAAATAATTGATACATAACTGGACCAAACTTATAATTGTCTGAAAAATTCGTGGCCATCGTCCATTCTGGGTGTAGCCCCTTGGGGAGGCTTCGTCTGCCCTGGAGGCCCCTCATTAAATAGACACACTCTAATTCTCTTAATTCTGGTTTTAGGTAAGCCTGAAAAAGGCACCCCCAGCACCTGGGGGGCGGCAGAGCCCACCCTGGGACACCCAGGGGGCACAGGGGGGTCACTCACACGCTGACGGGGGGGTCCCGCCGTTGGTGGCTTCTGTCTTCTCGCTGAAACCAAAGAGAGGAGGGGGCTGAGTGTGGGCGGGGTTGGTGTCCCCTGAGGGGGGGGACAAACCCCCCGGGAGGGACATCCCGGCCCCCGGGTGCCACAGCTGCCCTCACCTGGGGGTCTCGGCCTCGGAGCCGCGGAGCAGCGCGCTCTGCACCAGCCCCGTCAGGCTGGCGATCTGCTTCTCCATGGCCTCCATGCGCTCCCTGCGCCGGGAAAGGGACGGGGAGGGGTCACCGGCTGCGTCTGCCACCCCCGGCTGCTCCTGGCCCTGCTCACAGCCCGGCCCTGCTGCCCCGAGCGCTGGGGACACGGCTGTCACCAGCCGCAGCCACGCTCCTCGCTGCGCTCGCTGTGCTCGCATCCAGCCCTCCCCTGCTGCCTGATTCCCATCCCGGCACCTCCGCAGCGGTGATGGGACAGCGCCTTCCTCTGCTCCTGCTCCTGCTCCTCCTCCTCCTCCCCATCTGCTCCTCCTGCCCCTCCAGCAGATACAAAACCCCGCACAGCACAGCTCAAACCCAAATGCAACGGAAATCCTGGAGCATCCCAGGTGCAAACACAAACCCAGGACACCCTGGAGCATCCCAGGTGCAAACACAAACCCAGGACACCCTGGAGCATCCCAGGTGCAAACACAAACCCAGGACACCCTGGAGTATCCCAGGTGCAAACACAAACCCAGGACACCCTGGAGGATCCCAGGTGCAAACACAACCTGGAGCATCGCGGGTGCCAATACCCCAGTCCAGGAGATCCTGGAGCACCCCGGGTGCAAACACAGCCTGCAGCACCCAGGTTCAAGCACACCACCCCTCCTCTCACCTGGTCTCCGTGTCCTTGGCCGCTCCAGGTGATCCGAAGCCCGAGAGCGGCCGCTCCCCGGGGCCGGGGAACAGCTCGGGGGGCCCGGACGAGCTGGGGTTGCGCGTTTTGCCCACGGGGCTGTCCATGAAGACGGAGGAGCAGGAATCCTTGCGGAAGGACTGACGGACAGGCGAGGAGCGGCTGGGCGGGCCCGAGTAGGGGCTGTGCGGGCTCTGCCCGGGCTCCACCATCTTCTGCGGGGACGAGGGCGGCATGCGGAAGCCCAGCCCGGGGCCGTACGTGTCGCTGTAGATGGGCGCGTTGGGCTTGTACAAACTGTCCTCCAGCTCCGTCTGCAGCGCGGCCGCCGAGTAGGTGCTGAGTGAGCGCACCGAGCCCCGCTTGTAGAGCCCCCCCGAGTAGCCAAAGGGGTCCCCCATGCCCGCCAGCGACTGCGTGGAGGTGATGCTGAGCCGGCCCTCGTGCACCATCCCGTAGGGATCGGCGTAGAGCCCCTCGTTCTTCACCAGCACCACGTTCTTGCCCGCCAGGTCCTCGTCCGGTTTGACGTCGCGGCGCTCCAGGATGGCGCTGGGGCTGGGGGACACGCCCTGGGCGGGGGGCAGGCTGGACAGGCGCTCGCCGTGGTGGACGGGGCTGCCGGCGTACGAGGGCGGGCGGCCGCCGCTGTAGGACATGCGGGAGCGCGACGGCGACGAGGACTGCAGCACGGGCGGCGGGGAGCCGGAGGCCAGGTGGGAGGCTGGGGAGATGTTGTTGAGCCGGCGGGTGGGAGAGGATTCCCGGGAGGTGTAGACCATGTCCCGCTGTGGAATGGGGCAGAGGGGTCAGCACGGAGTGAGCCCTGCTCTGCTGGGCCCTCCGCCCCACCAAGGACCAGTGGCTCTGGCAAAGCCTTCCCTTGGAACACAAACCCTGTGAGGAACGGCTGAGGGAGCTGGGGGTGCTCAGCCTGGAGAGAAGGACACCCAGGGGTGCCCTCATCACTGCACAGCTCCTGAAAGGTGCCTGTGCTCAGCTGGGGCTGGGCTCTGTCTCCAGGAACTGACACAACCACAGCACACAGCCTTAAGTTGTGCCAAGGGAAATTTAGGTTGGATATCAGGAGAAAGACTTTCCAGCAAGGTGATAAAGTTCTGGAATGGCTGCCCGGGGCGGGTGGTGCAGTCCCCATCCCTGGATGTGTTTAACAAAGCCTGGGTTGGCACTGGGGGCCAGGGTTCAGTTGAGGGGCTGGGGCTGGGTTGGACTCCATGATCTTGGAGGTCTCTTCCAACCCAGGGATTCTGTAATTCTGTGACTCCCAGCAAGCAGCGGGTTGATTTATCCTGATGATTTATCTGATGATTTATCCTGATGATTTATCCTGATTATTTAATTCCCTCAAAACCATATTTACAACCCTGCTGTCAGCCCCCAGCCAGCGCTGCCAGCAGGCAGGAAGAATCCCAACCACAGACAATTCCCAATTCCCACTTCCCAATCTCTGCTGCTCCCACTCCACCAGGCCCTGCCACCCCCCGGGCTGTCCCCGTGTCCCCTCTCACCCTCAGGTCGCCGTTGGTGATGTGTGAGGCTGGGAATGAGGCGTAGAGCGGCTCTTTCCGGTAGATTTTAATGATGCTTCTGTCCTGGATGTCTCTGGAAGCAGAGGCAGAGCCTGAACACCTGGGACAGACCCCCAAAACCCCAACGCTGCACCCACCACCCCCTTTTTTCCTTCATCCCTCTCCTGGGTTGTAAGATATGAGTGTATTCTGTTATCTGTTGGAGGTGGGGCAATTATCTTCTGTTAATTGTGCAGTTATCTGCTGTTCATTGGGCTGTTTTCTTTATCTTTTCCACAACCGATCCTCCCTCCAGGAGATCTCTGCTGTTCCTGGCCAGGGAGTGTCCCTGCATGGCCGATAAAATTCCATCATCCCATTGGGAGATGCTCCGCCCAGGGGGAGGAGCCAAGAATTCCTACTTGGGTATAATCTGAGGTTTGGAACAGCACAGCAGCCTCTGCTCACTGCATTCCCAGAGGAGCAGCTTTCTCCTGCCCTGCATTCCCACAGGAGCACCAGGCCCATCTCCAGCCCCCTGGAGCTGCAGAGGAAAACTCCCCCTTGTGCAGGATCCCTGCTCCAGCAGAAGCACAGCTGGCACTGCAGGAGGGCTGAGCCCCCATGGGATGGGGCTGTGCCACCCCCTGACCCACAGGGGAACAGGGCAGGTTCTGACTCTGGCAGTACTGGTTTGTACTATTGCATTTCTATTTTTAATTTTCCTAGTAAATAACTGCTATTCCCATATCTTTGCCTGAGACCCCCTTAATTTCAAAATTATAATAATTCAGAGGGAGGGGGTTTGCATTTTCCATTTCAAGGAAAGCTCCTGCCTTCCTTAGCAGACACCCAACTTTTCAAACCAAGACCATTTAAAATTTTCCTAATAAAGAACTGTTATTCCTATTCCAATATCTTTGCCTGAGAACATTTAAATTTTAAAATTATAACAATTTGGAGAGAGGGGGTTTACATTTTCCAGTTCAAGGAAAGCTCCTGCCTTCCCTAGCGGACACCTGACTTTTCAAACCAAGCCAATCCTGCAGATTTCCCAGCTTGTGATGGATTTAGAGGACGGGAAAGCAGCCCAGGGTGGGATTTGCTCCCTCCCTGCTCACCGGACATCCTCCAGCTCGTAGAAGACGTTCCGGGACTCGTCCTTGATGAGGATGGCGGTGTTGGGGGACTTGAGCATGCCCATGGTGAGCTTCTGCGGGAACATGTGCACGATGAGGGCGTGCAGGGTGTCCATGCTGCTGATCTCGTGCGTGATGTGCACCCGCCGCGTCTCGTCCCCAAACTGCAGGAACAGCACCCCTGGGAGCACAGGGGGCACGCGGGAGTCAGCTCCGACCCTGCCCCTTCTCCACGGAGGTGTCGGGGTCTTCCCAGCCAAAAAAAGGGAATGGGGAGCTCTGGCCACCCAATCTCACCCTGGTGAAGGTGGAAGGCTCTGGGGCAACCAAAAAAAGGGCTTGGGGGACTTCTACCCATCCAACCGTGCCCTGCTAAAGGCAGAAGGGCTCGGGACACCCAAAAAAAAGGTCAGGGATGCATGAAGCCACCCAACCTCACCCTGCTGAAGGTTGCTCATCCCCCTGAGCCACCTTGAGGCTCCTCCCACTGTTCCCGGGGATTTTTGGGTGGATGGAGAGCAGCCCCACCGTGCACCAGGGAGGTTTCGGGCCTGCCGGGGGTACCTGGGGAGCGCAGCTTGGTCTGGCTGGCCGAGCGGGACAGGGGCAGGCTCTGCCGGAACCGGTTCATCCTGTTGAAGGCCAGCGGCAGCTCCGCCTCCGACATGGTCTCCAGGGATTCGGCCGAGGCGAAGGAGAGCTTGGCTTGGTCGGCCAGGCCAGGCTGGGAGCCCTGGGAGTGCCGGGAGCTCCTGGTCTGCAACGGGAGCGGGGACAGGGACAGGTCAGGGGGACACGGACGGGGGGCCCGGACCCCCGGGTGAGGCTGGTCCCGCTTTTCCTCGGGAATGAGGTGCCGGGATGGAGGGGCTGGTGTGGGGAGTGGGATCGTGGAATGTCCTGGGATGGGAGGGAGACACGAAGGTCGGCGAGTGCAACCCCTGGGACGCCCCCAGAAATCCCTGCCTGTGCCTGAGGATTCGGCTGGGCTGCCCTGGGGGGCTGCACCCCAAATCCAGGGGGACTCCATCCCAAATCCAGGGATGCTCCATCCTCCTCCAAGGATTCTCCTTCCTCACCCAGGGATGCTCCATCCCATGTCCTGGGCTAATCCTCACCCAGGGATGCTCCATCCCATTCCCAGCTCAGGCTCTGAGGTGTTTCACCCCCACCCCGTGCCAGCTCCCCCTCCCTGTCCCAGCACAGACCCCATTCCCAATCCCACCCCTCTCCAGGATAAACCTTCCCAGCTCCCTCCCGGTGCCTCTGGGCTCCCGCACCGGCAAATCCCTGGAATTTCACCCTGCAGGAAGGAGCCGAGGCTGCCAGAGCCGGGCTCGCGTGAGAGCCGGAATAACCTTGGCTGTTCCCGGAGGTTACACACCCATTACTCCACTCCCGGGAATCCCAAACACCCAGATCCTTCTGGAAGCAGAGCACTGGGAAGGTTTATGGCTCTGGGAGCCGGGAGGATTTCATTTTCCAGGATCCCCATTTCACAGGAGCGTGCTGCCAAGAAGTTTGCACCACAGACGTGGAAAATGTGGATTTTCCAATATCCCAAATATCCCCAAATATCCCCAAATATCCCCACACATCCCTAAATATCCACAACTATCCCTAAATATCCACAAATATCCACAAATATCCACAGCTATCCCCAAATATCCCAAATATCCCCAAATATCCCTAAGTATCCACAAATATCCACAAATATCCACAACTATCCACAAATATCCACAAATATCCCCAAATTAGTGGCCGTCCCCAGCACTGCTGCCTGTTAATAACCCCAAAACTCCAAGCCTGGATTTTCCAGGCACTTGTTGAAGGTTGGCAAAGCCAGCAGAGGGAACAGACAGCTCCCTGGTGTGGAAAAGGCGGCGCTGGAAAGGGACAACAGCTCTATTTTAAGATGGGGGGAAAAAAGGAAAAAAAAAAGAAAGAAATCAATATGAAATGATAACAGCCATCATTGCCATTTAAATGAGACATTAATTGGAAGATTTAATTAATCCTGTGAGGCGGGGTTTGGGACGACTTGAAATGTTCTCGCCCGTAGTTAATTGCTGGAAAATTGACTGCTGGGCTGGGTTGTTGTTGTTGGAGCACAAAGAGCCCTGGCAGAGCCTCACATCCAGGAGGGGATGCAGGGATGGAGTGAAACATTCCCTGTTCCCATCCCGGGGGCCGTGGGATGCGGCTCTGACCCCTCCTGGGGGTGGTTTTGGGGTGGGGAAGGGGGATTTTGGGGCTGTGTTTCCTGGGTGCCCTGCTCTGGGTTTGGGGCGGATCCCAGCCCGGGATGGATCCTTAGGGAAGCACAGGGATGGGGCCGGCAGCTCCTGGTGGGGGTGTGAGCCGGGGCTGCAGCTCAGCCGGGCTCTGCCTTCCCCTGCCCTGTTCCCGCTCTCTGGGATCTCATCCTGCCGCAAATCCATCCCTGCTTCCCTACATCCCTGCATCCATCAATGCATCCATCCCTGCATCCCTGCATCCATCCCTGCATCCATCCCTCCCTGCATCCATCCCTGCATCCCTCCCTGCATCCATCCCTGCATCCCTCCCTGCATCCATCCCTGCATCCCTCCCTGCATCCATCCCTGCATCCCTCCCTGCATCCATCCCTGCATCCCTCCCTGCATCCATCCCTGCATCCCTCCCTGCATCCATCCCTGCATCCCTCCCTGCATCCATCCCTGCATCCCTCCCTGCATCCATCCCTGCATCCCTCCCTGCATCCATCCCTGCATCCCTCCCTGCATCCATCCCTGCATCCCTCCCTGCATCCATCCCTGCATCCCTCCCTGCATCCATCCCTGCATCCCTCCCTGCATCCATCCCTGCATCCCTCCCTGCATCCATCCCTGCATCCCTCCCTGCATCCATCCCTGCATCCCTCCCTGCATCCATCCCTGCATCCCTCCCTGCATCCATCCCTGCATCCCTCCCTGCATCCATCCCTGCATCCCTCCCTGCATCCATCCCTGCATCCCTCCCTGCATCCATCCCTGCATCCCTCCCTGCATCCATCCCTGCATCCCTCCCTGCATCCATCCCTGCATCCATCCCATCACTGCATCCATCCCTGCATTCATCCCCTCCCCACCCCGGGGGTGACAGGGACACTTCCCTGGCCCGGGTGACCCCAGCCCCTGCCCGGCCCCGCGGCTGCCCCCGGGCCCCGGCGCTCCCCCGCTGTGGGTAATTTACGGAATCGGTCAAACCACACAAAACCAACCCCCGCCCGAGCGAACGGGCTCTGAGCCCGGCGGGGCCGCCCTGCCCGGCTGTGGGCACAGCGCTGTGCCCAGCCCCAAACCTGTCACGGCACCGCGGCACAGCCACCCCAGCCCCCCGCCCTGAACTCAGGGCAGCCCTGTGGGCACGGGACCCCCAGATGGGCACGGGACCCCCAGATGGGCACAGAACCACCCCAAATGGGCACAGAGCCCCCCCAGGTGGGACATGGCCGGGGTCACCCCGAGGGTGGCACCTCGGTGTTGCTTTGCCCATCCCTGTGGAATTCCAGATGTTTTGGGGGGCTCTGACCCTGCCTTCAGGGCGCCAGGTGCGCCACCTCGGATGTCCCCTGTCACCTCTGTCGCCCCTGCCTCACCCAGGGCATGCAGGGCACATCTCCCAGCTGGGAAAAGCTCAGGATAAACCCCAAACAGCACCCCAAAAAACCCCAGCGTGGCCATAAAAACCTTGTGCCCCCCATTTCTCCATCCTACCCCCCAAATTACCCTTTCATCCACTCCCAGACCCCTCCCCGTGGCCACCGAGATAATTCCCTGCGGGATCTGAGCCCACCGGGGGTGGCAGGGAAGGGGTGGAGGGGAGGGGGCGCCGCCCCCTGCTGCTGTCCCCAGCTGGGAAATGACCCATTTCCTGCCGAGCCAGCCCCGGAGCGGCAATCCCGGAGCTGGATCCTGGAATTCCCGGCTGGCCAGCGTGGGAATTCCAGCGGGGAGCGCTCGGGGAGGGAGCGAGGGAGCGCAGCCACAACAAAAGCCGCTCAAGGCCACGGGGAGGCTGCGCCGGGAAAAATGTGGAATTTCGGGGCAGAGGGGGGCTGGGCACAGGGCACCAGGCTCTGGACGCCCACAGCCTTCCCCGGGATTAAACCTGCTCGGATGAAACCCCCCGGGAGCCTCCCGAGCCGCGGGAATCCCGCTTGGACCCCTGGCAGTGCCCTCGTGGTGATGGTCCCGGGGAAAACCCGATCCCAAAAAAACCCTCAGGAGGAGGCAGGGGGAAAAAATCCCCAATTCCAGCTGGGCCAGGAGCACCCCCAGCCCCTCTGGGGATGGAACTGGGAAGATTCCCCAATTCCAGCAGGGCCAGGAACGGCCCCATCCCCTCCCCCGTCCCCGGGAGTTTTATATAAAAACGGTGGGATGGGGAATGGAGGTTGTTTTTTTTTTTTTTTTTTAATGTCGATTTTTTTTTTCTTTTGTCTCCCCAGAGCTAAAAAAAGCCACAATTAAGGAATTCTTTGAGCTCCTAAAAAGCCCTGCGGAAGCAGCTCCATTATCTCTGCCTGGAGATAAGGACACTCCTCATTCCTGCCTCTCCTCATCCTCATCCTCTCCCAAATTCCCCGGCCCAGCTGCGAGGGCGGAATGCTCGGAGAGGAGCAGGGAAGGATCACAGGACCCGGTGGATTTTTGGGACGCCGCGAAAGGAGCGGGGTCACCCCTCTGGATGGGGAAAAGCGGTGGAGCTGCTTGGATGGGGAGGGGGACAGGGGTCAGGAGAGGGACAGAGGTGACAGGAGCAGCTCTGGACCTCCCACAGGTCACTTCAAAGCAGACAGGAGGGGAAAAAAACCAAGGGAAAAATGCGTGGGGCAGGAATCCTGGCCCGGGATGGAGCAGCTGCTCCCGAAGCACCGGAGCGACCCCACAGCTGCACATTTCCACCCTGCGACCCTGCCGGGGACCTCGGGGAGGGGACACCGGCTTTGTCCCAGCCCCACAGGCTCCCAGGGCTGTGCCGGAGCCATCCCGAGGGAAAAGGGGTCCTGCCCGAGCCCTCCGTCCATCCCACACCCGGGCGCTTCCAGGTCACGGCTGGTGACCGGGACAGCAGGAGGAGAAGCGGCTCTGTCCCCTCCTGCCAACCCCCGGGGACACTCAGAGCTCCAATTCCCGCCCCATCCCGAGCTCCGCACCCCCTCGCACCCCAGACCTCCCGAGACCAGCCCCAAAACCGCCGGGACCAGCCCCAAAGCAGACCTGGGAGGGACAATCCCTCGCTGTCCCGATGCCACCAGCGGCGCCCGTCCCCGGGCTCAGCCTCCCCTCCCCTCCCGTCACCGGGAGGAGCCTCCCGGGCCGGGCTGGGCAGCTCTGGGGTGGGGGCCGCGCCCTCCAGGAGCCCCCAGACCTCCCCGAATCGCCCCCCATGGGCACCGAGGGTGCTCCGGAGCGCGGCCGGGCATGGCCCTGGCGGGGCCGGGCAGATCCTGGCAGGTCCTGGCAGGTCCTGGCAGCTCCCTGCTCTCTCCTGCCCGTCTGCAGCTCCTCCGCAGGATGGGGATAAAGGCAGGGAGCCCTGAAATCCCTGGAAAACAGCTGGCACGGCTGGCACGGCCGGCCCCGGGCGCGGTTATTTACCGAGGCTCCGGTTGGACACGGATCGGGATTAATCCCAGCTGATCCCCCTCTCATCGCTTAATCCCGGCATCCCGCCCAGATCCCATCTGCTGCTGAGCCCTGGGGTGGGATCCGAGGGGAGGGGTGGGATGGGATCAGTGGGATGGGATGGGATGGGATGGGATCCATGGGATGGGATGCGATGGGATGGGATGGGATCTGTGGGGTGGCCATATCCAATTGGAATCAAACATCCCGGACCAGAACTCAGCATTCCCAGCTGGAATAGAACATTCCTGACCCAGCATCCCTGAGAAGAATTCCCAACTGGAATAGAACATCCATGACCAGAACCCAGCTTTCCCAACTGGGATGCAGCGTCCTCAAACAGACACTGGCATCCCTGACCAAAAACCAGTATTCCCAGCTGGAATAGAACATGCCTGACCAAAAACCAGCATCCCTGATGAGAAACTGTAATTCCCAATTTGAATAGAACATCCCTGACAGAACCCAGCGTTCCCAAGGGGAATTCAGCGTCCCGAGCCTGGCTGTCCTCCCCCAGTTCCAGCTGCATCCCAGTGCCGACATTCCCGGCCGTGGTGCCGCCCTGCTCGGACACCTGATCCCGGCTGGTGAAACCCAACCCCTCTGCTCCGCCTTTGGATTCCACTCGGGAGGGAATTCCGACAGCCCAGCTCCCGCCTCTGCAGGCGGAGAGCCGGGAGATGCCCAGCCGGGCAGAAAAGGAGGGAAAACCGGAGGAAATCTGGGGAAAAGGGGAAGGAGTGAGAGGCTTGGGGTGCTCCGAGCACCACCCAAAGGGTTTTTCCAGGAGTCTCCCCCATCCAAGGGGTTGTGGCCTCTCCAGTGCCGCCTTCCCAGCCCCCTCCCCTCTCTCTCCGCCCCCAAATTAAAATCGTTCCCGCTGCCGGCAGCAGTAACTCATCCCCCGTCTAACGCTGAACATTTTGTCAGGATTATCCCGATTAAGGAAGAATTAATCCCGATCTCAATGTTAACAGGATTAGCGTTCAAATCGGATTAGGGTTTTCAAACCGGACCCCTTGACTAAAGGAAGGGGCGGGACTCCCTGCCCTGGGATGGGCTCCGGGATGGGTCGTTCCCAACCCCGATCCCGACCCCAGAAACTCCTGACACCCTGCAGGGACAGCGCCGGGATGTCCCCAAGGTAAAGCCCGAGAGGGAGAGGGAAAAGGGAAAGGGGAAAGGGAAAGGGGAAAGGGAAAGGGGAAAGGGAAAGGGGAAAGGGGAAAAAGGAAAGGGGAAAGGGGAAAAGGGAAAGGGGAAAGGGAAAAGGGAAAGGGGAAAGAGAAAAGGGAAAAGGGAAAAGGGAAAAGGGAAAAGGAGGAAGAAAAAGGAAAAGGGAAAAGTGGAAAGGGAAAAGGGAAAAGGGGAGGGGAAAGGGGAAAAGGGAAAAGGGAAAAGGGAAGGAAAAAGGAAAGGAAAGGAAAAAGGAAAGGAAAAAGGGGGGCTGCCAGTCCCCTCTCCCCGATTTTCCTGCTGGCAGCAGAGCTCCGCGTGCTGATGAATATTTAAAAGCCTGGATCCTCTGCAGCCTCATGAATATTGACGCTGCCGCTCGCCCCACACCTTCCCCGTCCGCCCCTCAGCGGGATCGGGCTGGGGCCGGGATGTTCCCGGCAGATCCGAGGGATGTCCCAGAGTCCAGCCAGGCTCTGCTGCGGCATCCCCGCTGGAAAATCCGTCCCCGTCCGGTCCCGCCGTGCCTCAGTTTCCCCGTTCCTGCGCGGAGGATGCCTCTCCCATTCCCATCACCCTGACGGGATGGCCGCCATCCCTGCCAGTGGCAGTGCGTTGGGATCAAGAGATTTTTGATCGCTTTTCCAAGCCAAACCATCCATAAATATCGACAACCCCAGGATCGATGGACAACAACGGGCAGCATCTCCCGGCGAGGCCAGAAAACCAGCGAGAACCCCAAAAACCACAGCGAGGAGGTCGGAGCAGCCTCTCCCCACTCTTCGAAGCCCCCAAATCCCCCTTTCCCCCAGGACCATCCCACCCGCGGCCTCTGGAGCGCGGGGAGCCAAGGCCGGCGGGAGGCTGCAGCGGGAGCAGCGGGATTGCAGCAGCCGAGCACTCGCTGCCTGCTATTTGCTCATCTCCCGCGAGTAAACACTCCTCTCCTGCTCTCTCTGCGGCTGGCCGCGGTGGAAATGGCTCCCGCCAGGGGAAGCCGCAGCCGCGATGCCGAGGCCGGAGCCGGAGCCGCTCCCGGCTCTTGTTTTCAACACAAACGCGTCCTTTGTGTGTCCCCCGCCGGTTTTACCCTTCTGGATCTTTTACTCGGCTGCCTTTGATGTTCCTTTAAAGTCCCAGCTCCAAAGGAGCTCTGCCGAGCCTTTGGATCTTCCCGTTCCTCCCGGGAATCCAAATTCCATCCCACCCCTCGCATCAGCGCGGCGGGAGCCCCCAGCCCTCTCCACTGAACTTCCCCCGGGATTTCCCCCCTTTGGATGCGGCCCTGGATGTCCCAAAAGCCCCGCGAGCCTTTGGGATGGCCCCGGCCGGGGGGCTCCAGGCAGTGTCCCCTGTAGGGACAAAGATCAAAGCCAACCTTGAGGATTTCTCCGGTTTTTTGGGATTTCTGAGTGCTGAGGATGGGCACAGGGATGAGAGCCCTTGCCGAGCACTTCCAGATGGACAAACGGCTTTGTTTTCTGGCCTGGAGGGGCCTCAGCACCAAATTCCAGCTTGGGAATCCAAATTCCAGTTTGGGAATCCCATCCCTCTTCCCTCTGGTCTAAAATTCTCCCAATGCAAAATTCCTCTGGTCCACAAATCTCCAAGCACCAAATCCCAGTTTGGGAATCCCAAAACTCCTTCCTGGTCCAAAAATCTCCCAGCACCAAATTCCAGCTTGGGAATCCAAATCCCAGCCTGGGAATCCCATTCTTCTTCCCTCTAAAACTCTCCCAGCACCAAACCCGCAACTGAAATTCCCGTTCCTCCTCCCGTTCTGTCCGTCCTGTGAGGCGCTGGCACAGCCCGAGACCCCCACACTCATCTCCTGCCCCTTCTCCGGGATTTTCTGGGGAATGAGGGGGATGAGGAGCCCGGAAAGGGAAGAGGTGATGGACAAGGGGACACAGCGATGGGACAGGGGGCAGATCCCAGAGCCCGGCAGGGAAAAGGAGCAGGAGCAGCTCCAGGGGGAGGAGGAAGAGGAGGAGGAGGAGGCTGGAAACCAGAGCAAGCCCTGAACCCCTGCTGGGAGCAGCCACTCCGAGCTTCCAAACCCACCCAGAACCGGCCTTTTCCCATCATTTTCCCATCATTTTCCCATCATTTTCCCATCATTTTCCCAGAATCCTGGTCTCAGGAATAACTCCAGAGCAGCGGGATTTGGCTGTGGGGCGAGCGCTCAGGACGAGGCCTCACAGAACAACTCACAGATCACCCCAAACCCCAAAATTCCCTCTCGTGACCTTCAGCTTCAGCTGAGCTGAGACCAAACCACTTCAGCTTGGGAATTCTCATCCAAAAAAATCCCACCCGAGCTCCCACCCCCATCCAGAGCACAGCCAGGCACATGCATTTCAAAGAGAAAGCAGGAAAAATCCGAAATACTGACCTTAAAGCTCCAGTAGTTGGGTTGCTAACAACAACAAAAAGATAGAACAGAAGAAAACACACACACACACACACAAACAAAAAAATACCATTAAGATTCTTGTTTTGACTTTTGGTTTTTTTTCCCTTTGAGAATGGCTGAGCTCGGATTTAAACCTGCTCTGGTTCCTGCCCCTCCCAAAAGGTCGCTGGAGCTTTGGGGGGCGAGCAGGGGGTGAGGATTGAAGCAAACTGGGGTGAAAAAGGAGGGAAAAGGGGTTGGCCCAGCAGCCCAGCATGGCTACTGGTGTCACTGGTGCGCCCGGCCCCTCCTGGCGCTGGAAGTCACAGCAATGTTCATTTTCCACGGGATTTTCCAGCCCTTCCCGCTGTGCCCGCCCCCTCCCCGCGCGCTGGTGTCGCCGCTGTCACCGCGATGTGCCAGCGCCGGTGACAGGAGCTGGCAGCGCTCCCGAGCCCCCCGCGCCGGCATGGGATGGGGGGGGATCAATGGGATGGGATGGGATGGGATGGGATGGGATGGGATGGGATCAGTGGGATGGGATGGGATGGGATGGGATCAGTGGGATGGGATCCATGGGATGGGATGGGAGCCCGGGCTCCCAGAGGGGGCAGCGGAGCTCGGGAAGGGATTGGAAGTCATTTTTATTCCAGGGGGATCCCAATATTCCAGGGTGTTCCCAGCCCCACCCGACCCCCTGCAGGAGGGAAGGTGGGCCCCGGGGGGAGGAGTGGGATGCAGGGACAAGGAGTGGGATTTAGGGGCAAGGAATGGGATTTAGGGACAAGGAGTGGGATCCACGGATAAGGAATGGGATCCAGGGACAAGGGGTGGGGTCCACCTGGCTGGAAGGAGAAATCAGCAGGATAATGATCTCAGGGTGTCCTGGCTCTTCCCTTCCCCAGCTTTTCCCTTTTTCCCTCCCCAACTTTTCCCTTCCCCAGTTTTTCCCTCCCCGGCTTTTCCCTTTCCCCTCCCTCTTCTCACTTCTCCCTCGAGGACCCTCAGTAATTTTCCCTCCCCTGACATTGCTGATCCTATCTGCTGCCAGCGCCAGCCGTGGATTTCATTTATTTTTTCGGGATGACAGTGTGGATTTTATTTATTATTTCGGGATGACTGGACAAGCTCCTCACTGAGCCCATAAATCACAGCCACATCCAGAATGTTCTGGCACCGTTCGGGGTGGGCACCGTGACCTGGGGGCACAGGGTGGCACAGCACCCGTCCCCAGCCCAGCGCCACGGATCCAACGGGGAAAAACAACCCAGTTGTTTTTTTTATTTAACCCTCTTGTGAAAATTAAAAAGTTTAATAAAGGACAATAAGAAATAAAGACAATAAAGCAAAGATTGGCAAAGATTCAGCCGAGAGCACATTTACTATTTTGGAAACATTTTTATATATTTATATTTTTTCTTTTAATCACTTTTTACATATTTATTTCTATAGTATTAGCTTGTTGCATATTTATTCTATTAAATATTTATTATATAGATTTTATGTATCAAATATAGCTAATTAATTATATATATTTATATGTTTATATATTATATCTGTATTATATTTTATGGTTTTAAATATTTAAATATTTTTAAGATTTTTACTATTTCAAAATGTTTGAATAATTTCAATATTTTAAAATATTTTAATATTTCCAAAAAGCCAAATAATTTTATTATATTTTATTACTTGTGTTATTTATCTACAACACAACCTTCCCCTGGCAGCCCTGGGGATGTGGCACTGCCCAGGGGACAGGGACACGCTGCCCGTCCCCTGCCGGCCACCAGGACCATCCAGGGCTGACAATCTGGCGCTGGTGGCCGGTGCCAGGCGGGCCGTGCCCAGCACCCCGTGGCGCTTGGTGGCTCCATCTGTCCCCGCTGGCACTGCTGCCACCTCGGCCCTGCCCTGCCCACCCCAAGTGTCCCCAAAATCACAGAGGGTGCAGCCCCGGCGTGGGTCAGGCACAGCCACGGGCCCCAGGTTTTAGTTTTTATATTTTTTATGGTTTTGTGCTGATTTAGGGGAGTTCTGAGCTCCATATTATGGGATGGTGAGCTCTCCGCACAGAGCAAGGAGACAAAACAATTCCTGCTCTAGCTGGGGACCAAGGACAAATGATCCAAATCTCAGGCCCAAGAGCACAAACAATGAAGAGAGAGAATCAAGAAGGATGGGACTGCATAATCTAAAGCTGGAATTGGACAATTAACTCCAATATGCAAATGGAGCAGAAGTTATTAAAGTGAGAGACCCCGTGAGCGGTCAACATTTTGGGACCATTTTGGGTTCATTTTGGGACCATTTTGGGTTCATTTTGGGACCATTTTGGTTCATTTTGGGACCATTTTGGGTTCATTTTGGGACCATTTTGGTTCATTTTGTACCATTTTGGTTCACCTGGGGTGCAGCCCTGGCTGGGGGGCTGAGGCTTGAGAAGGCCTCCCCTCCAGCCCCCCCAAACCAGGGGACAGAATGGGGACAACCTCAGGGCAGTGTCCAGGGCCCTGTGATGCCTCGGGAAGGCTGAGCTGGAGCAGAGGCCAGGCAGAGTCACAGAATAAAGCAGGGATTCATTCAAAGGATCTCCTCAATGGATCCACCTTGGGCAGCACAAGAGCCCAGCCAGGGCTGCACCCAGAGTGAGCCAAAATGGTACAAAATGAACCCAAAATGAACCAAAATGGTCCCAAAACGAACCAAAATGGTCCCAAAATGCATGAGTGCTCACGGGGTCTCTCACTTTGACAATTTCTGCTCCATTTGCATATTGGAGTTCATTGTCCAATTCCAGCTTTAGCCCCTGCAGTCCCATCCTGTTTGTTTTTCTCTCTCCAGCCCACGTTGTTTCTGCTCTTGGGCTGGGATTTGGATCATTTGTCCTTGGTCCCCAGCTGGAGCAGGAATTGTTCTGTCTCCCTGCTCTGTGCGGAGAGCTCACCATCCCATAATATGGAGCCCAGACCCACACACTAAAGCAGCACAGAAGCTGAAAAACATAAAAACCAAAACTGAAGCATCACCTGGCAGCCCCTTGCAGGCTGGATTTGCCCGAAGAGGAGGGGAGAGGAGAGGGCCGAGCTGGCATTAACATTTCGCTGGCTCTTCAAAAGCATCAAAGGGAGATAATGGGCCGGGAGAGGATTGGAAGCGACAGCCGCGTTCCGAGCCATAAAGCAGGCGGCTCCTTGCAGCAGCAACTCTGCAAAAGGTGCAGGGAATTACAGAGGCTGTGATTTATAATTACAATGAGAGTCATGTCCGTGGTGCTGCAAACGAGGGAATAACGAGGAGCTCAGGGTCCCCGAAGCGCCGGGAGGGGGGCGGAGAGCCCCCGGGGGGATGGACACACACACGAGGCAGCAAAGCAGGGCTGGGGTGATGTAATCGGGAATATTTTGGGAGTCGAGTTTGAAAAAAATGAAATAAATTAAATGGTGCTTGTGGTTGTCCCAGGAGCAGACGGGAGGTAAATGAAATGAAATCCAAGTGAGTCAGCGCCTTGACCGAGGGGGACTTCCCCTGAATGGCAATTAAATCACAAATCTGCTGGTGATTAACGAGGCACGACCGTGTCCCTCTCGAAAGGGCGGCAGCGGCAGCCGCCGCCCCGCACTCCCAGGGAGGACAGAGGCAGCTTCATCGGCTTTTTAATTAACTCATTTCCAGGAGCTCCGGCTTCCGATCGAGTCCCCCACCCTCAGGCACCGCGTCTTGACAAACAAAAATCTCCTTGAAAAATAACAGCCAAGTGAATTTAATCTGTTTCTGCTTATTAAAGTTTTTTGGTTGTTGTTTTTTCTGGTTTTGTTTGGGTTTTGGGTTTATTTTAATGCTTTTCAGAGCCAGCGAAAGTGAATTAAAGTGGAAATAGCAGCATGACAAGACGGGGAGAAGAATGCAAACAGTGACCAGACAGAGCGGGGGCTGCAGATTTTGTCACCTGAGGTGTCACAATTATTGCAGGCGCCTGTCAAACGTGGCCAGGGCAGGGGACACTGGGGACAAGATGGGATGCAGGGGGGCTGGGGCTCGTCCCCGTCACACCTGGGCCCCTCAGGAGGCTCCCAGAGCCCCCTGTGAGGTTCTGCTGCTCCTTTCAGGCAGAGCCTCGGAGCCTCGCACCCCCACCCAGAGAGGGCTCTGAGGCCATCGAGGTGACACCAGAGATGCCACCACCGCCCGTCACGGCCGCTCAACGTCAGGCCTCCCCCACAGACCCCCCAGCACAACCACACAGCCCCAGCCTTCCCCTCCAGGCCCCTGCACTGCCCCCGCGCCTCCTCCTCCTCCCCAAGCCCATCAGCACTAATTACAGCCCTGACCTCCGCCGCGCCGCTGGGGACAGCGCCGGTGACAGCGGTGGCACCGGAGCCCCAGCACGGCTGGCCGGGGGCTCCTTTCCTGCCCCGGCCCCGGCCCCGGCCCCGGCCGCGAGCGGGCGAAGCCGCAGCGCCCGCTGGAGCCATGCACCGGTTCGTGCGGGGCTCCGCAATCCCCCCGGCCAAGGTCAGCGCCCGTCCCCGCCCGGGGTGCCCGGTGCGGGAGCGCCCCTGAGCCCCGCAGCGGGGTCGGGGCGTCCCTGAGGCGCCCGCGCGGAGGTTTCGGGGCAGGGCAGGGCAGGGGAGGCTGGCAGGAGCCGGGCAGATCGGATGGCACGGTGGCCATGGCAACGGCACGGCGTAGGTGGACCGAGCACAATAGGGACGCGCAAGGTGAAGCCGGCCCCGCGCCCCGCACCGCCCGCGACCCCCGCAGCCCCGGGGTGACCCCCCGCTCCATGCGGCACCCCCAAACCGGCACAGATCGATAAACCCGTGGGAAAGGACAAGCGCTGGGGTCTCCTCGGGGCGGGCACAGCAGCCGCGTCCCCACCGCAGGGTCCCCGGGGGGGTCGCGGCAGCGCGAGGGGGGCTGACCCCCCCCGTTCCCGGCGGAGCTGGGGGTGAGGAAGAGCCCGGCACGCTGCTGGAGCCCGCCCTGCCCTTCCCGCGTCCCCTCGCGTCCCCTCGGGGCTGGCGGGCCCGCCGGGCTCTGGTGTCCCCTCCCCGGAAAGCCACGGCGGGCAGCGGGACCCGAGCCCCGGGGTCAGCGGGGACAGGAGAGAAACTGGGGGGGAACAGCGGGAAACTTCAGGGGAGGGAGGGACAGATGGACGGAAGGATGGATGGATGGATGGATGGATGGATGGATGGATGATGGATGGATGGATGGACAGACGGAGGGATGGGCGCGTTCCCCCTGCCCGTGTGTGCCGGGCAGAGCAGGAATGATCACAGCCCTTCCAGGGGGAGTGCCGGGAGCCCGGCTGTGCCAAGGGGAGAATCCCACCTCCAATTCCTGGTGGGCACCTCCCGGGAATCTCCCTGCCCGGCTCCCACCAACTCATTCTGCCCCCGGCGCTGTCCCCAGCCTGGCTTTTCCCTCTTCCTGGGGACTTCAGACCCGCTTCCATAAAAACCCCGACCGAGGAGAAGCGGGGTGCCCCGCGGAGCTCCGCCTGACTCCAGAGCGCCCATTCCCAGCCAGCCCTGCTGGAACGAGCCGGGGATCGCTGGCCGGGCGGGGATGAGGGAATCGATGGGGCCGGCTCCGGCTGCAGCCCCGGGGACACGCACACAGCGCTCGCGGTACTCGCGGCAGCCGCGCTCCACCATTTCAGCGCCTGCCGTCACTCTCCACCTCTGGAGACCAAGATGACACCGCGGGAGGAGCCCCGAGGGACCCCGCGTCGCCTCGGCCACCCCGCTGCCGCCTCAGCCGGCGCTCACCGAGCCCCCCGAGCGCCCCGGTGCCCCCAAACCCGCCCGTGCGGGGCTCCCCCGGCCCAGGCGGGGCTGCGAGGTGAGGTCAGACCTTTCCTGCCGCCGCGGGAAGGAGCTGGGCCAGGTGAGCTGCAGGCGCAGGGGCTGCGTGCCCCGGCCACCATCTGCCCCTCTCCGCCGCCCGAGGGGGGCGTGGGGAATCGCTGTCCCCTGCCGGGACACGGGTGACAACGCGGAGCGGCCCTGGGACGGCGGGGGACGCGCAGGGGGGGGCACAGGGGGCTTTGCACGACCCCCCCGATCCCCCCCGGCTGCGGCAGCGAAGGGCACGCAGGGACGATGGCAGCCACAAAGTGCCACCCCCTCCCCATCCGCGACACCGGGGACGGGGGGGACCCCGGGAATGGGGGGAGGCTGAAGGGAAAGGGGGGCTGGGGAAGGGGGGGCTAAAGGAAAGGGGACGCCGAGGGGCTGCCCCGGGTCTGGGGCCGGGGTAAGGACACCCCCGGCTGCCGACGGAACCGGGTGGGAATTTTGGGGAGGGGGGCACTGCGGTGGGCAGGGGACACCGGCGGGGAACCGCAGCAGCGGGGGGCGACAGCGGCTCCGCCAGCGCGCGGAGGATGCGCCCCGCTCCATCCCCTTCTCTCCCGTTCCATCCCGTTCCATCCCGCGCGTTCCCGCCCGGTACCTGCGGCAGGTGAGCGCTGCGGGTCGGGATCCGCAGCGCCGCTCGGCCCTGCTCGGCTCCGCTCGGCTCGGCTCGGCCCCGCTCGGCCCCGCTCGGCTCGGCCCCGCTCGGAGGGATATGGACATGGATAGGGACAGGGACAAGGGAGAGGGATGGGGACAGGGATGGGGACAGGAAATACAGCTGGATGGACATGGATGACACAGGGGTGGGGACACGCATGTGGACAGGGAAACACACACGGGCACACGCAGGGATGTGCACACGTGGATGGGCGTGTGGATGTGCACGGGGAGTCGCACACAGCTGGATTCACAGCTGGATTCCCACACAGCTGGGTTCCCACCTGGATTCCCACACAGCCGGATTCCCACCTGGATTCACAGCTGGATTACACACAGCTGGATTCCCACCTGGATTCCCAGCCGGGTTCCCACCCTCCATCACCCCCTAGCACAGAGCCAGCCGCCTCCCCCTGTGCCCGGGCTCTGCAGGACGCCCCGGCGGGACCCCGCTGCCACCGGTGCCACTGTGCCGGTGCCACCTGTGTGCCCTGCCCGGCCCTCACAGCCCCGAGCGCCGTCAGGAGAGGCAAAGGATTCCCGGGAGAAACGGATTTTTGCCAGGCTGGAAGCGGTGTTGACATTTACGGAATGTTCTTTTTCACCTCTGCTGTTCCAAACTCCCTCAAATGTCTTTTTTTTTTCCCCTCCTTTTCTTCCTTTTTAGATTTTTTTTCTTTTTATCTTTTTTTTTTCTTTTTATTTATTTTTTTACATCCCAAGAAAACAGTAAAGCCTGTGACTCTGAAATCCCTTCCAGGCTCTTCTGGAATATCAAAGTGATTTTCAAACATTCCAGGCAGGGCTGGATCCCAATGTCAGTTAAAGGTTGGCACCTGAGCTTCCCAGGATTTCTGGATTCCTGTTATTATTTACTGCCTGCCAGGGAAATGAAGGAAAAGAAGGGGAGGAAAGGAAAAAAAATAGTATTTGGTAGGATTTTGGGGTGTTTTGGTGGGGAATGAGCTGCAACCAAACCCAAAAATCCAGGTTGGGTTTGGGAATAAAGGAGATAATTCCCAAATCCAGATCATTCCTTCACCTATAAAAATCCTCAGCAGCTTATCAGACCTGAGCCAGCCCCAGCTGGATTTTTTTTTTTTTTTTAAGAGCTGCTGCTTATTTTTAAAAAAGGAAAGTCTTTAAATCCCTGTAATAATAGGGGGAAAATCCTATTTATTTACTGGGAAGCAGCGCCTGGAAATGCCCCAAATATGGATTGTGACAGCAAAGCCACCATCAATTATTGTCCCCTCACCAAAATTTGGGGGTTTGGAGGCATTTGGTGGGCAGCAGCTCCCATGGCACTGGTTTTTCTGGCAAAGCTGGATTTCCTTCAGCAAGCCAGTTCTGGGAATTTGGGGAATTTGGGAATTTGGGAATTTTGGGACCTTTGTCCCCTGAGAATTTTTGGTATGCTTTGAGTTTTCCTGCCAGGGGGGCTCCGGGATCTGCTGCCCAGGGGAGGTGGGGATTTACTGCTGCCACATCAGCGTCACCAGAGCCAAATCAGGGGTTTGGGGTCCCCAGCACACCCCAAAACACGACAGGACCCCCCCTCCCGAACAGTCCCTCCCCAGGGCTCTGGTGTGCTCAGCAAAGGCCACCAGAGGCTGGGGGACCCTCGCCCCTGGGGGGTTCTGCTCCCCACCCCTGGGGGTTCTGCTCCCCACACCTGGGGGGTTCTGCTCCCCACACTTGGGGGGTTCTGCTCCCCACACCTGGGGGTTCAGCTCCCCACCCCTGGGGGGTTCTGCTCCCCACCCCTGGGGGTTCTGCTCCCCACCCCTGGGGGGTTCTGCTCCCCACCCCTGAGGGGTTCTGCTCCCCACACCTGGGGGTTCTGCTCCCCACACCTGGGGATTCTCCTGCCCACACCCATCACTCTCTGTCACACCTGGGGGATTCTTTCCTCAGGGTTGGGGAATTCTCTTCCTCGCCCCTGTAAGATTCCCTTCCTCACCCTGGCATATTCTCCTTCTCGCCCCTGGAATATTCTCCTTCTCACCCCTGGCATATTCTCCTTGTCACCCCTGGAATATTCTCCTTCTCACCCCTGGAACATTCTCCTTCTCACCCCTGGCATATTCTCCTTCTCACCGCTGCAATATCCCCTCCCTCCCCCCGGAGGACGCTCCCCAGTCGCTGCCGCACCCACCCCCGTGTCACGCACACCCAGCACCCCCTCTCTCCTCTCCCCTGCACCCAGCCCCCCATCCCGAAGCGCCCCCAGCCCCATTCCCGGGGGAATGGCGCTCACCTGGTCCCGCAGGCGCTCCTGCTGCCCGCGCAGCGCCAGGGCGTGCTGCGGGTATTTGCTCTTCAGGTGGTCCATGAAGGCGTCCCTCTTGCGCTCCATCTCCGTCTTCTGGAGGCCGGTGAGCGCCTCCAGGCTCTGCGCGGCGATCACGGTGTGCCGGCGCTCCGAGGTGTGCACCAGCCCCACGTTGGAGAAGCGCCGGGTGCCGTTGCCCAGGGTGCGGTACTCGCGCGGGTACTCGGCATCGTCCGCGGAGATCATGTGCGAGCTCGTCCTGTCGGGATCTGCGCGGGCAGCGGGAGAGCACGGCGGGGTCAGCGAGGGACCCCGACACGGGGCAGGCCGGGGGGACAGTCCCCAGACAGGGGGCAGGCCGGGGGGACAGCCCCAACCATGGGGCAGAGGGTGAAGGCTGGGATTTGGGGTTGGGGATTTCAGCAAGGAGCAATGGCAGAGCCTCGCTGGGAGTGGGATCATCCCTCAGGGGTGCACAGAGTGGGATCATCCCTCAGGGGGTGCACACAGTGGGATCATCCCTCAGGGGGCGCACACAGTGGGATCATCCCTCAAGGGGTGCACACAGTGGGATCATCCCTCAGGGGTGCACACAGTGGGATCATCCCTCAATGGGGTGCACACAGTGGGATCATCCCTCAGGGGGTGCACACAGTGGGATCATCCCTCAATGGGGTGCAGGGAGTGGGACCATCCCTCAATGGGGTGCACACAGTGGGATCATCCCTCAGGGGTGCACACAGTGGGATCATCCTTCAGGGGTGCACACAGTGGGATCATCCCTCAGGGGTGCACACAGTGGGATCATCCTTCAGGGGTGCACACAGTGGGATCATCCCTCAGGGGGTGCACACAGTGGGATCATCCCTCAGGGGTGCACACAGTGGGATCATCCCTCAATGGGGTGCAGATGGGATCATCCCTCAGGGGCGCACACAGTGGGATCATCCCTCAGGGGGTGCACACAGTGGGATCATCCCTCACGGGGTGCACACAGTGGGATCATCCCTCAGGGGGTGCACACAGTGGGACCATCCCTCGGGGGTGCCCGAGGAAGGGGTGGATGCCAGGTCCGTCCCCCTGCGGTGGCAGCGCTGTCCTCGCTCCCGGACATGAGGGGACAGCGGGGATGGACGGCCGGGGGTGCAGGGGCTGGGATCCCACCGAAGCCGCGATGATCGGAGCGAAATGGGAATGAAAGAGCGCTGGGTGACTGAAAACAGCACGGACGGGACATGGGACAGGGACACACGGGGGACACGGGGACACGGCTCCGGAGCACGGACACATGGGGGACACGGACACAGGACAGAGCGAAAAGAAAATGAAATCAGGCAGGGAGGGGGAAGGGTCGTGTGTGTGGGCACTGGGCTGGGGAGGGGGACAGGACCCCATGTCCCCCCAGCAGGGGCTCAGTGCCCATCCTGCAGTCATTGCTCACAGGGGCCAGCCCAAATCCCAAACCCGGGATGCTCTGCCCCATCCCAGCCCCTCTCGGTGTCCGGGAACACCAAACCCGGGATCCCCGGGATACTCTGCCCTATCCCAGCCCTTCCCGGTGCCCGAGGGTACCAAACCCGGGATTCCCGGGATGCTCTGCCCCATCCCAGCCCTTCCCGGGGCTCAGCCCAGCCCGGGAGGGCACAGGGGGACGGACAGAGGGTCCCAGGCACAGAGAGGTGACAAGGACGTGTCCTTTCGCTAATAACTCATTCCGAGCACACTGGGATCTGGCTTCCAGGGAAGCTGTGAGAGCTGATGGATGCCTGGAAGTCCCCGCACGCTGCCAGCTCCTGGCACTGCCTTGGTGCCCGCGGCTCGAGGCCACCCCGCAGCCCCCGGCCCCTGCCCAGCCCCGTGCCTGCTGCAGGGCGGCTCCAGGACCCCAAAAAGCCACTTTGGGGGTGTCTCACTCCATCTGGGAGCTGCTGTGCCCAGGCCCCGGAGTGGTGCCAGCCTGGCCCGAGGCCACGGGGCTGCCTTTGGCACCACTGGTGAATTTCGCAGCTCAGCCTCCCGCTCCTGCTTCCCTTTTAACCTTGATCCATAATTCAGCTCCTGCTTTTTCCTGTGCCTTCCCTCCCCAGCTCCCGGTAGACAAATCATGGTGAGGTTTTTGTCCCTTTTTCCTTTTTTTTCCTTTTTTTCCCTTTTCCCCTCAATTATTTATCAGCCCAGCAGATCGGTTTGATATCAAACTGATAAGAAAGCGTTATCAGCGGGGCCACAGCCGCGATTCCTCCGCTCAAGGTCGCACGAGCGGCTTTGTCACCAGCCCAGCGGGGACATCACGCGCTCGCAAGCACCACGGGGACATCCCAAAGCCTTCCCTCCTCCAAAATCCACCGGTGCAGCTCCGTCCCTCACAGCTCCATCACCGAATGTCACCTTGGCCGGGTTGTCACCCCCTTTTCCCAGAAAACGGAGCTGGGATGTGGCAAGAGCTGAAGATCCCGTCCCTGCCTCACTCTGCCGGGTCCCCATGGCACCGGGGAGGTGACAGCGACACCAGGGAGGTCACGGTGGCACCAGGGAGGTCACGGCAGCACCTCCACCACACCAAACACCCCAAACTCTCCCGGGGGAAGTGGCCCGAGGGGACTCTGGTGGCCGAGGGGACACGGGCATGGCATCGCTCCCAGCAGCTGCCGAGCTCCAGCCCTGATGGGCAATCCCGCTGGAGCAGCTCGTCCTGACCCCCCCCGGGACCCCCGGGAGCTGCCTGCCCCTCTCCCCGCTCCCCTCACAGCCCCACAACGCGTGTCCCTCACTGATCCAAGCTGGAAAACTCCTCCCCTGCCTCGGCCGCTCTGCCCAGCACCGGGTCTGTGGCCCCAGAGCAGAAATTTGGGCAGGAGCTGCTCCCATCACCCAACTCCCAGCGCAGCCACAGCCTCGGAGCCCTTGGAAAGTTCTGCAGCCCCCTCGGGAGCGGCCAGGAGGCTGCTCGGAGTGGGGGATCGCACCCCGGGCCGGCCCCGCTGTGCTCCAAGCGCACCGAAACAATCCCTGAGCAATGCCGGGTCCCGACGCCGCAGAACTCCCGGATTTCTCCCATCCCACGGGAATTCTGGGGCCGGGGATGGGGATGAAGGCTCCCCCCGCCAGCCGCAGCTGCAGCAGGAGGAGCTGCAGCTCCTCATCCTCCCGGAGCCGGAGGAAGCTGCAGGGACGGGGATTTTGGGGGGTGACAGAGGGGATTTGTTCCCCACCACCACCTCCCGGTCCTGCTCCAGCCCCGCTGCAGCAGCGCGGGGCTGAGGCCGCGCTCGCAGCTCCTTCCCCGCGATCAGCATGCAGCTCCCGCTCGCTCATCACACGCTCCGGCAGCGGAACGCGCCAGCTCCGCTCGCCCGCTCCGAGGGATGATCTGAACAGGGGCAGGGAGGAGCCGCAGCCCCTCGGGGGCTCTGCCAGCCCCGGATCCTGCTGCCCGCTCCGTCCCCGCAGCCAGCCAGGATGCAGCGGCCCCGACCCCGCAACATCGCAAAGGTTGTGACCCATGACCCCCTCGAGGCCAGGGGAGGAAAAGTCGCCACAGCCACGTGCACTGGCCTCGTGTCAGCGCTCCGGAGATGCCACCCGAGATGCCACCCGGAGATGCCACCCGCAGCGGGCAGGGATGGTCCCGCAAGGAAACAGCCTGGGGGGCTGGCTTGGGGAAAGGAACCTGAAACCCTCAGGGCCAGGCTGAAGGGAAGGCTGTTAATCCTTCCCTCCTGCGGATAATTCCACCTCAAACCTCCCACAAAGTTTTTTTTCCCTCCTCCTCCAGCAGCTCAGGAACGCAGCGGCCGCCGCAGATCCCTGGAAAGTGCTTCCCGAGGCTGCTTCCAAGTAGGTCACTGGGGTGGCAGAGCCGGCCGGAGCCTGCCCGGGCTGCCCAGCCCATCGGGGCACCCTGCGGGCCGTGTCCCCCCCACGGGACCGTCCCCTGGCTTACCCGCGGCCGCAGCGCGGCTCCCACGGCGGCCGGGCCGCGGCTCCGGGGGCGCGGCGGGGGCAGCGCTCCGCTCGGCGGGGGCTGCGGGCGGCTCCTTGGCCGGGCGCAGCGCTCCCACGACGGCCAGGATGCCGCGGTAGATCCTGGCCAGCCCCTCTCCGAGCAGAGGGAGGTTGAGGGAACGCGGTTCTCTTTGCCGATTCATCCACCCATCGCGCCCACCTGCCAGCAGAGGTGTCACCCGTGCCGGGGCCGGAGCCCCGGGCTGCTAGCAGGGCACGGCCATCGCGTCCTTCCCGGGAAAACAGCGGCACCGGAGGCACCGGTTCGGGTGGAAATCTTCAGGCACGGCGCTGGCAGAGAGACAGGGCAGGGAAAGGCCCCCAAAAACAGGAGCGGCTGCGGGATCCGGCTGGGATCCCCCCTCTCGCAGCGGGGTTTATCATCCAGAGGAACGCCTCGAGCCCAGTTTATTACTGCAGTCCCATAAATCTTCACGAGGCAGCGAAACCTCGCGCGGGTCGCGGCGAGCGATCAGCGGAGCGTGGAAAATCGCCCGAGAAAGCGCTCGCACAAAAAGGGGCGAGGGGAGGGGAGGCGGGGAGTGCATCTGGGGAGAGAGGCAGCCGGGAGGGCGGCAGCCCCTCGCAGCGATGCGGCTGCCCCGCGCCCGGCCATTAGCGCGGCCGGAAGAGCGGGATGCTCCCGCTTCCTCCCGGAGGCTGCTCTGCCGCACTGCCCGGCGCCCAGCGAGCCTGCCCGGCTCCCCGAGCCCTGCCCGGTGCTAACCCCTTCCGTGCCGCGCTGCCGGGGGCGGGAGGAGGCGTGGGGAGAGCGGGGGGAGCTGCTGCGCCGCGCGGTTTAACTCGTGCGCTGCTGCGGAGCCGGCCCTGGGGGTGCGCGCCCCGCCGGAGCCGGGCCTGCGGGAAATCAGGGAATTCTGGAGTGGTGTGAGGCGGGGAAATCAGACAGATCCCAGCCCTGCCGTGGGCGGGGAGATTCCACCTCGCCAGGTGGCTCAGAGTCACCGGCCGAGCCCCTGCTGTCCTGTCCCTGGCTCGGCCACCGTGGTGTCCACTCATTTTGGGATGGTCAAGCGCCTCCCAGAACCCGTCCTCACACCCCAGAAGTGCTGCGAGCTGCCCAGATGCTCTCGTTATCCAAGCAAACGCGAGCCCAGGAGCAGGGAGAAGGCAGATGACACGGGTGACACCGGTGTCCCCCACTGCCGCCACCGCCACGTCCCCGACGGGGCCAGCTCTGGCCGGGTGTGGCCACTTAAAGCCAATTCCCAGGGAATTCCAGCCCTGGGGCTGCGGAAAGGTCGGGAGCGGGGCAGGGTCCATCCCAGGACGGGAATGTGGAAGTGAGGGCACTGCAGGGTGTCCTTGTCCCTCTCACAGCGACACAGGAGCGAAAGCTGGCGGCGACCGGGATGAAAATCCCGCACCCTCCCCTCGCTGCCATGGAGCTGCCACCAAATCCCCTGGGAAGAGCCGGGTGACGCCAAGGCCACCCGCAGGGGACCGTGAGCACCCAGCAGGGGACAAACCTCCCCAGGATGTCCCCCGGGATGTCCCCCGGGATGCAGGAATTGTTCTCCCGCCTCATTCCTCCCTTCCCAAGGATCCCTGCCGGGGCTCAGCGGGCTCCCCGCCGCGCCTTTCACTCCCAAATTCCAGCGGAACGGCGGAAAATTAAACATCCCCCCCCCCACAAACACACACACAGCTCCACTGGGAACTTCCCAGACGGGACCCCACAGACCCCAATTGGCTCTGGGCAGGGGCACCGTGCCCGCTCACGGTGCCAGTCCGGATTCTCCGCGTGAAATCCTGGGCTCCTGCCCGTTCCCAGCCCCGGGCGCCGCCTTCTCCCCGCCCGCATCCCACAAATTCCCACCCCGGAGCGGCGCCGGGACGCGGAGCTCGCCCCAAGGCTGCAGCTCGCAGGAGCTCAGCTGGCATCGCCCGGTGGCACTGCCCTGCCAGGCGGCTCCTTCCCTCGGGAGGCGCCGGATGAATCCTGCGTGTCACTTGTCAGAGCCCAGAGCGAAGGGAAAGATCCCATCTGGCCGGCCCTGGAAAAAGCAGCCGCCACTTTTTCCCACCTCGCCGGGTGTGATCGCGCCCACGCGCCCACATGGAGACGGGAGACGAGTTCACCTCCCAAAATCCCGGGGATCCAGTGCCAAGGGAAGGGCCGGCACACCTGGATGCTCGCTTGGAGCCGTGCAGCAAGGAGCAAGCCGGGGAAAAATGAGGGGCAGAGGGAATGAGGGAAGGGCAAATTCCAACTGGGAGAACCTGGAAAATCTTCCCTCTGTCCTTGGCAAGTGAAGGGAAAATGAGGGGCAGAGGGAGTGAAGGAAGGAGAAATTCCAGCTGGAAAATCTTCCCGCTGCCCTCTGCTCCGTGTCCCGAGGCTGAGCCAGGGCATTCCCGGCGCATGGAAAACATCCCTGCCCGGGGCAGAGGCACCGGGAGGAGGAGGACGGAGCCCTGCGTGCCCTGGCAAGGGTGAGCTGCCCTCGGCTCCGTGTCCGGCCGCTGGCCCGAGGCTGAGCCAGGGCATTCCCGGCGCATGGAAAACATCCCTGCCCGGGGCAGAGGCACCGGGAGGAGGAGGACGGAGCCCTGCGTGCCCTGGCAAGGGTGACATCCTCGGCTGGCAGGGCTGGGGACGTGCCAGCAGCTTGGAGACACGGGATAAAAATAAAGGCGAGGCGAGGCCAGGCTGGCCAGCGCCGCTGCCACAGAAGGCGCTTTGTGGCCTCGTCGCCACCCCCGCGGCACAGCCGGGACCTGGCAGCTGCCATGGGAATGGCCCGGGGACCGCCTCGGCACAGGGAAACTGAGGCACGGAGGAGACACACACGGGTCCGGCTGCTGAGAGGGGAGGGGGTCAAACCCGGCGTGCGAGCAGGGGGAAAACACGGTCGGAACTGAAAGGATTTTCCCAGATCTGGGGTCCTGGCAGGCTCCGTGCGGGGCGGGTGAGGATGTGGGGCCGTGACTCTGCCGTGTCAGCTGGGCTGGGGAAGCAGAGCCAACTCCCCCTGTCCCAGGCGGCTCCTGGGACAATCCCAGGGACCCAGGGACAGCCCCAGCTGCTCTGCGAGTTCCATCCAGCCCCTCCCAGGGAGGAATTCCTTCCCAAAATCCCATCCAAACTTCCAAGATAGGAGGAACAGGAGGGAGCATCAGAAGGGGCTGTGACCCTCCAGCCCGGCCTGTGGCCACCAGCAGCTGCCCGGGCAAAGCCCAGAGCCGGGCACGGGGCTTTGGCACCCCAAATCCCACTCCAGGAGGGATGGAAGCCACGAGGGGAGGGATCCAGGCCAAGCCCACAGCATTTCCAACCCTCTGTCCCACAAGCCTGGGGTCCCCAAAGGGCTCAATTCCCTGAGGGAGCATTCAGAGAGGGGATTTTTCCTGCCTCAGAGGGTTTGGGACCACGGCAATCCCACAGCCACGCTCAGCCCAGCCCCATCCTTGGCACAGGAGACCCAGCTCGCTCAAATCTTGGCTCTGCCACCCCCAGGATGGGCTCAGAGCCCACCCCGGAGCTCAGCAGCTCCATCCACAACACTGAGCCGTGATCCCGCATCCTCCGGGCAGGATTTGGGTGGCACTGCACCTTTGGGTGACTCCTGCTGCGAGCTGGGCACTGCCAGGCGTGGGAAAAGCTGGGTGGGTGTCCCGGGGGGGCTGGAGAGGCCGGGAATGCTCCCGGCGGGGGTGTGGAGAGCAGCCCCTATTTCTGGGCACACAGGTAGCACGTTGGTGCTTGGTCACCGCCTGCCGTGCCAGCCCGGTTAGTCACAGCTCGTTAAAAATCAGAAAAGCTGGGGGAAAAAAAATATCTCAGAGCCTCGGCTGAGGCCTCCGAGAGGCAGGGAAACGTGCTGAGGGATGGAAAACACGGGGTGAAATCCTGCAAGGATTCGCTGTCAGCCTGAGCAGCCACGGGACAGGGACGCTGCGGGGACATGTGACACATCCCCCTGGCCGCGGCGACACCGAGCCGGTGCCCCCAGGGCTGGTGGCACTCCCCACCTCGAGACGCGGCGGGTGACACGAGGACAAGGCCAGCGCGCTGTGCCACCCCTCGGCCCGCTGTGCCACCCCTGCTGTCCCCTGCTGTCCCCTGCTGCCCATCCTGCCCTGCCGGGCACAGCGAGGGTACAGCCCCGTCCCCCCGCCCGCCGCCTCCCACCAGCGGCAGCCAGAGCTGTCCAGGCAGCGGCGTTTAGTCAAGCAAAAGGAGGGCAGCAGCAGCTGCCTGCAGCCCTGCGCCTCCTCCTCCTCCTCCTCCTCCCTTCGGAGCCGGGCACGGTACAGCCCACGCCATCTGTGCCCACCTGTGAGGGGCTGGACCACCCCAGGCCACCCCCGAGCCCACCTGTGAGGGGCTGGAACTGTCCCCAGGCTGGGCCTCCTGTCCCTTCCTGGGTCAGGACCCTCTGTGAGGGGCTGGGACCACCATCCATCACTTCCAGGGGCAGTGTCCACCTCTGAGGGGCTGGCACCGCCCCAGGCCACCCCAGAGCCTTCTATGAGGGTCTGGAACGACCCCCAGGCCACTCCAGAGCCCAGCTTGGACCACCCCAGCCCACACCATCTGTCCCTTTCAGGGGAAGAGCCCCTTGTGAGGGTCTGGGACCACCCCAGGCCACTCCAGAGCCCCCTGTGAGGGTCCGAGACCACCCCACCCACCCCATCCATCACTCCCGGGGCACAGCTCACCCCAAGTCCCCCCGGTCCGTACCCAGGAGCAGCGCTGGCAGCCGGCAGTCCCGGGGCTCGCTGGCTCTGCCCGGCTCCCGCAGCCTCGCCGCGGCTCGGGGGGAAGCTCCGGGGGGCTGCTTTGCCCAGCGGGGCAGCATGGCGGGGGCGGCGGCAGGGGGCTCGGCTGGCCGATCTGCGCGACAAACACACGCGGCTCGCGGCATCCGCCTAGCCCGGGCCGGGTACGGCCTCGCGGGGCATCTGGGCGCTTGGAGCCGCGCTCCGGGCCCGCAGGGTGGGCTCTGAGCCGCCGGTGCTGACTGAACGCGGGGTGGGCTCGGCACCGAGCGCGGGGAGGGTGGCACCGACCTGATCGCGCAGCTCTGACCTCGCAGGCGTGCGGCGGCTGTCACCTCGCATCCAGCGCCGCCACTGTCACCTCAAACCCAGCGCCGCCACCTCAAACCCAGCGCCGCCACCGCCGCCTCAGCGCAGCGCCGGGGAGCGGAGCCGCAGCGGGGCCGGGCTGCGAGGCTCCCGCCGCTGTCCCCGCGCTACCGAGGGGCTCCCGGAGCCGCCTCCACGGCCGGCATTCCCCGCTCCGCTCCTCCGCCAGCTCCCATCGCTTCCCCTCACATCCTGGCCCTGCCTTTCCCCCCGTTCCCGGTTCGTCCTCTCGTTCCCGGTTTTTCCCCCCGTTCCCGGTTTGTCCCTCCGCTCTCTCCGCTGGGCGCGGACGCTTCTCGCTGTTTTCCGCCGTTCCGGAGCTCCCTGCGGGTCTCCCGGGGATTTTTCCCCCCCCTCCTTCCCCTGGAAATGTCAGCGTGCCCCCTCAAACGCATCACATGTGCCGGGCAGTGCCCGGATTGTCGCGCTGCCCGCCCCGTGTCCCCGGCGGTGACACCGCGGGGCTCTGGCCGTGCTGCTGCCACCACCCCCAGGAGCCAGGATGGCCCTGATGGCACCGAGCTGCGCAGCCCCGGGCACGGGCACCCCGAAATGTCCCCGCTGCCAGCCCGCGGCTGAGCCCCGGGGCAGCTCGGGGACGGAATTCCAGCGGTTTTCTGGGATTGTCCCAGAGGGTTTCTGGGCTTGTCCCCGTGGTTTTCTGGGTTTGTCCCAGAGGTTTTCCTGGGTTTGTCCCCAGGACACGGCGCTGGTCACTGCGGGCAGGGTCACGCCACAGCCTCCAGGGACGGCATTGATTATTCCCGAAATTCCCAGGGTGAGGCGATGATCCCGAAGGAAGGAGGAGCAGTGAACCCCTGAGGGGCGCAGCCCGCTCCTCCCAAACCCATAACACCAAAACTCCAAACCCATTAAATCACCCCTGCCCCACATTTTGGGGGGATTGGCACGGTGCCACCCCCAGGGTTCCGGGGAGATGCTGCCCCAGCCAAAGGGACCCCAAACCCAACCTCGCCCCACCCCACAGGGCTGTGAACCCCCAGGGTTATTTCGGTCCAAAT